GGGGTAGAGCAGAAGATCCCACACGGACGATTCCGAGAGCTTAGTCAGCCAGGTTTAGGATAGAGCAGCACAGCATGTGACTCAGTAGCATCATCACTCCAGCATAGACAACCACGAGACGATAGCACCACTCCACCGTCACGGTGCGAGCGCGCATTTGCAAAGCGTTGGCTCTTTCCAGAGCGCCCACCACCCCCAACTACCTGGCCGCAACCTAATGCTGCTCTAATACGGTTAGGGAGAAGTCCTAGATATGGGAATATTTTCAAATCAGGGGCCTACGAAGGTTGACAAGGTGCACTGGCAGGCACGCTGTAAATACTGTATCAGGCAAAGAATCTTGGGAATGCTGATTAGTATGCCGTTATATATACACGAATTATTGCAGTCATGGCAGGCTGGCAGCTACAGCTCTCAGAACTCGGACAATTTTGACGCAGGAAGGTGAGTTGTACTGGTCACGTGACGTGGTTTTTGGTAAACATTAAAATATTGTCCGACGAAGTTCTTGTCGCCATTAACCACGATGACGACGGCCTTATAGACCACCACGGCGGCGGCGAGCGGTGCAAACATTTATATTTATTAACTGCACCGGGGACGCGAGAGTCGCCGATATCTTATGGAAAGCGATCTTCAGCTAAACACCCAGTACTAGTCACGGTAGTATGGTATTTTGCTTAATTGCATTTAACACGCTTACTACTACACAGCGCTCTTACTACTTCTTATCATTCCTTTTAGTAGGCGGACAACTTGTCATATTATGGGTCTTTCCCATTTCCTTTCGCTTCACCCCCTTGGAGCTCACTTCCCATTTCTAATGTGATCCGACACCGAACACCCTCCCACGTTGTCACTCCGTCCCTCTCATTCACGTTGTACGCCGATAGGCGATGCCGCTGGACTGGTGCTTACGTGAGAGCTACCTCTGTTGTTCCGAAGACTAGCGCCAGCACACAATATTGTCAGTATCTATGTTCCTGGTTACATGCAGTCATCTGTTTGACGTAGTGAACCCTTCGGTCATGAAGACCCTCGATGTCCTTAACTGTGTCGGAAACCAACTCCTTGAAGGGGTTGTGGTCACTGTCTGACGAGCCACCACAGATAGCTATCTATCGTGCCTGTCCAAGGAAGATCGTAGATTCGAAAATCCAGCAGTTCACTTGCCAGCGAGAATTCTCGCTTCCCTTACGAAGACTAAAGTAGTTAATGGTACGTTTCACGAATTCTTTTCATGTTTTCTGGCTCCGAGTGTATAAGTAATTCCAAGAAAGTCGGTAAGTACTCAACGTTCCAGACGCGTTCCGACATTCTTCGCACTACTGCTTCAGAATATAACCTGAGACACGGTTTACAATGGCACTCGTCGAAGTCTCCCCTACTACCATTACCGACTTCGTTTCCGCACCCAATACTCTCCACGACGTAATCGCTCAAGCTGTTGACCAGTATCCGTTGCACGAGCTTGGTTTCATAACCTCCTCGGCACATGACTCCTCTATTCACACGACGACCTTCAGCGCGTTTAATCAATATGTTCGCAACCTTGCACGTGCCATGCTCGACTGGGGCAAACCCACAGGCTCGATTATTGTCATATATTTGACGGAGCACGAAGACAACATGGCTGCTATCTGGGCGTGTCTGTTGGCTGGCTATTTGCCCTGCTTGCAGCCCGCTCTTAGCGCCCAACAGACGCACAAGGAGGGCCATGTCACCCATATCAAGAACTTGTTTGGATCTGCAACTTGGTTAACCAGCAAGCTTGGGGCTGAGCAGATCAGCTCCATTCCTGGTCTGGAGGTTCATCTGTTCTCTGAATTAAAATCATCGGGGCAGAAATTTACTGTCGCACCTGACTGGGTTGCATCCAAGGCTAAGCCAGACGACGATGCCATCCTGTTCCTGACCTCGGGCTCAACTGGATTCTCGAAGGCGGTCGTCCACACGCACCGTACCATCCTTGCTTCATGCCGCGCCCAGGGGCAAAACTACGGCCTGACCTCCGAATCTCGAATCTTTAACTGTAAGGCGGACATCATTTAAACTTTCTTCTGACATTGATCATGACATTCAGGGGTTGGATTTGATCATGTCGCGGGGTCGTTGGAATACCACATCACACCTCTGCTATATGGTGCTTCGCAACTCCACGTGCATGCATCTGTTATTCTTACCGATCCCCTTCGGTTGCTCCGTCTGATTGACGAAAAGGTGTGCTGACACTGAACCACAGCTTAACTTGTCTCTTATCATTCTATTTTAGTCAATCGAACTGGCTTACGCCCCAAACTTCCTGCTCGCTAAGTTCACTCGTGATTTGGGGAAGCGCGCTGACCTCTTCGGGTGCTTGGACCTGTCCTCTCTCAAGCGGATCAACAGCGGAGGTGAAGCTATTGTTTCCAAGACCGCGCAAGCCTTTGTTGCTATGATGAAAAAGTTTAGCAAGAACCCCTCCGCAGTATCCTTGGTCATCGCCTCTGGGTTTGGAATGACAGAAACTTGGTAAGGATACTTTAAGCATATTGATAGCTCAGCTGATGGGCCTTTGCAGCGCCGGATGCATTTACAACTACCCTGTGGATGTACTCGCAACTGAGCCTGCTCGCGAGTTCCTTGATCTCGGGCGTCCCATCAGTGGTTGCGAGATGCGTATCACGGATTCAGCCGATAGTGTCACCCTGCGACCCGACGGGGAGAGCGGCGAGCTTCAAATTCGTGGACCGATGGTATTCGTGCGCTACTACAACAACGCCGAGGCTACATCCTCTAGCTTTGTCGAGGGCGGCTGGTACCGCACTGGCGATGTTGGCATCATCGAGAATGGCGTCATGCGCCTTAGCGGTCGCATCAAGGACACCATCATCGTCTATGGTATCTCATATGGTATCCCTGAGCTCGAAACCCACCTCCAGACCGTTGAAGGGGTCACGCACTCGTTCCTCGCCGCAGCTCCATACCGCGCTCCTGGACAAGAGACCGAAGGGTTCATTATTTTCTACTCGCCAACTTTCGACCTCGATGAAGCAGATGCCTCCGCCAAGCTCTTCGCCACGCACCGGGCTCTCCGGGATATCTGTGTGAAGATGATCACACTGCCACCTCAGATCATCATTCCCATCCCTGTGAATCAAATGGAGAAGAGCACTCTCGGAAAACTGTCTCGTGCGCATCTCATGGACATGTTCAAGCGAGGCCAACTTGCGAATCACATCGCCCGTTCTGAGGAGCTGCTCAGCAAGGCGCGCGGCGTTTCCTTCGTTGCCCCGTCCACCGAGACAGAAAAGGCGTTTGCCAAGATATATGCTGGCATCTTCAACATCGCGGAAAGTGAGGTGTCGGCGAGTGACAACTTCTTCGAGATCGGCGGTACTTCCATTGATGCTATCCGGTGAATATACCTGTTTCTGCCTTTAAACGACCTTCACTGACATATAATCTCCAGGCTCAAGCGCGAAGGAGAGGAACACTCCGGTCTGCCTGACATTCCTGCCATCCAAATCCTGAAGCACCCCGTTCTCTCGAGCCTGGCCAACTACGTTGACTCTTTGCTCTCCGGGGACGCCCAGCCCGAGGAGTACGACCCCATTGTTCCCCTTTCAGTGACCGGAAATAAGACGCCAATCTTCTTTGTTCATCCTGGTATCGGAGAGGTCCTCATTTTTGTCAATCTTGCAAATTACTTCCAGAATGAGCGTCCCTTCTACGCTTTCCGTGCTCGTGGATTCGATGACGGCCACCCCCTCTTCACTACCATGGACGAGATGGCTACCTGCTATGCGGCAGCAGCCAAGAGGGTTCAGGCGAAGGGACCCTACGCCCTCGCGGGTTACAGTTTCGGCGGTGTTGTCGCGTTTGAAGTTGCCAAACGGCTCGAGGCCATGGGTGAAGAAGTGAAGTTCGTCGCTCCCATCAACATTCCTCCTAATATCTCCGGCCGCATGCATGACATCGATTGGACGGATGGCTTACTCCACTTATCGGCCTTCCTCGGTCTTGTGTCGAAGCACGATTCTGATACACTACCCCCTTCCCTGAGACCGCTCCCAAGGAAGGAGCAGCGTGATATCGTGTGGAAGATTGCGCCTCCTGAACGTATTATCGAGCTCCAGCTGACGCCCGAGAAGCTTGACATATGGGTGGACGTCGCTGAGTCTCTCATCAATTGTGGACTAGACTACAGCCCATCAGGATCAGTTTGTAAGTTGTTCATGTTCTCACCTCAGGACCGCTTGCTCACATACCCACCCCTCAGCCATCATTGATGTTTTCTACGCCACTCCCTTTGCTGGATCCAAAGTTGACTGGCTCAACAACCAGCTCCATGCATGGTCTGGCTTTAGCCGCGGCGAGGCGACATATACTGATGTGCCTGGAGAACACCACACGCTCATGGACTTGGAGCACGTCCCGCAGTTCCAGAAGATCTTCCGCAGTCGTCTCGAGGCTCGTGGGCTGTAGCAGTTTGGAGGGCCATATTTTGTCTTGCGTCGGTGATCTATTCAACAATAGTAGGGGTGCATGTGTTTGATACTTAACCTGCTCGCGAGCTCGATTTGTTCGTCGTCATGTATGTACAGTATTTCGCTTGTAATCCCGGTGAAAACATCCATCAGACGAAACGGTCAGCCTTGTACACGGCTGCGAGAGAGTATTTCGTCGATGAAACTTGCCGCAATGTGGGGGCGAGAGTCAATCAAGTACTACCTGATCAAAAGGTTCACGTCATGTCTGGTGTACTAGCTGTCGTGGTCAAGGGTGGGTCATCGATGAAATCTACCTGGATAATCTATACACGGAAGCTGAAGCTTAGTAGGCGAGTCCGTGATCATTCTGGAGGGATTAATCCTGGCGAAGCGAGACTCGTTCCAAATTTTGTGGATTGATCGTCAGGCGCGAAATAGGGGTGCAGATATCACAGTATCTATATTTGTCTGACAACAGTCATGTTACATGCCCCAGACTCTATCTCGATCAAGAATACCTTTGATCTCCTCTACTAACCTCATTTGGCTTTCTCATCAATATTGGAGGGAGCATAGTTAAATCTTAATATATATAGGACACCCCCCAGGTACCACTACTCCATCTAAATAGATTCTACAATCACGACAGGAGTCGTGAAACATCACGACTCCGCACCACTAGCCCTAGCAACGCCTACGTAGACACCAGACCCAATTTGCCTCGTTCTAGGACAGCTTTGAAACCAAAGTGTTCCTCTTCACCAAAGTTCTCCGTGGGGTTGTACATCGTATGGATGGGCTTCCGCGCGTTGATCTCACTCAAAACGATCTTGGCTTCCTCATCAGTATCTCCGATCAAGCGATCGATATCTTGTTCTAACAAAACGGGTGCGTCTGGGGATGTTAGGGCAGGATCCAATCTAAGTATTGCGTTTAGTATGCGATACTTCTGTAGAGCAGACGAGAAACCCTTACCTAGCTTTGACTGCCGAGTGCATCTCGGGATCAGTCGGTGCAAATATATGACGACAGAAGTCCATTGTTTTCTATCGGGCACATCAAGGATGTTGTGGAAGATAGCAACAAGTATACGTACCTGGAGTTCGTCTTCTGTTAGCGTCTTACCGACATCTGCTGTTCCTTGAATCACTGCACTCGGGAGATCAGGGTTTGCAATGATGGAAGAAAACATCGATTCTCACCCGGCCTGAGGATATCAAAGGCTTTGTCAAAATTGTCCTCATCCACATCGCTCATGACTGGCATAGCCTGATTGCGGATCTGTTTGTAGGTCCCAAGGACGACAAGAAGAAACCTACGGCATACATAACGTTAGCTGCTACCACTCCAGTGACCAAGTCCACATGCCTCGTGTAAGAGCTGCCAATCTTTGAGGTGTGCCAACGCTGGGCATCATCTTCGCTGGATAGTCCCCGAATCGACGCAGCAATCGTGAGAGCAGCCGAAAGTCCTCCTGTCATAGCCAAATGGACTCCAGACGAGAAGAATGGGTCAATGAATGCTAGCTAATTGTCAATAGCGAGTATAACCAATCATTAAATGAAATACCTCCAGCATCCCCCGCCACGCGGAAATGATCCCCGGCATAGGAGGAAGCAGAGTAGCTAAAATCGCTCGCAGATTTCACAGCTTCCGGTTTGCCATCATTTCGAAGAGTGCCCTTTCCGATCAATTTGAGGACACCAGGAGCTCGGTTTAATTCTTCCTTATAATGAGTCTGAAGATTTGATTCGGATCCGCTTGAGGTTGCACGGTTTGCCTTCTTCTTACGGTTGCTCGACTCTTGATCCATCACAACTCCAACAGACGTGGATCCGTCGTGAAGAGGGATGAACCAAGCCCATCCAGACTCATCTGCAGACATTAAGCTCAGCATGACCACTTCGAGTTATTTTCATACCTTCAAGTGCTTCGACCCAGACAGCATTCTGGCGAGTGGTACCCGGCATGTAAGAGCCGGTCCCATCCCAGTATCCCCAGCATGCAACGTTGTTGAGGGCCTTGTTATAGTGTCTGTTCTTGAGGTACTTTGTGGACATCATCCCGTTCCTTCCCGACGCATCAACAAGGTAGTCGAAAGAGATAGAGCCCTCTACTCCTGTGCTGGTATTTCTCCAGTTGGCTGAAACAGGTCTTTCGCCCTGGAACTGAAGTTCAGTGACTCTGATGTTGTCGAACACAGTCGCGCCACACTTCGCAGCATGGCGAAATAGCAAATCGTCGAATTCTGATCGAACCTGCAAACCAGTGAGACAGTAAGCATATCTCCAATATACTACGGACCACATTCCAAGACCCGTTATTTGGGTCTAGCGCAACGAAATCTGTGTCTGGAGAAAAAAATCAATATTACTACGACGATGAATGAGGAGGGTGGGGCTCACATCCTTCTCGCTTGAACTGATTCAACTTTACTGCAGCGCCAGGCTATAAAACGAAGGAGGGTGACCGTCTAATGTACTCTGACGTAGTGAAGACCATACACACCTTAACTGCGAACCCGTGGTTCTTGATCATTTCCTCTGCACCAATAAATCCCAAGAAACGGCGGACCGACGGAAGTAAGCTCTCGCCAATATGATATCTAGTACAATAATAGATTAGTGACTGCGTATACCGATGGCATGTATTATGTGCTGACCGAGGGAACTTCACGGCTTCGAGAAGAGTGACTTCAAAACCTTCTCGAGCCAAAGCAGCAGCAGCATAACTTCCGGCGGGTCCGCCGCCGACAACAAGGATTTGAGTTGAGCTTGGCTAACCAGTATTTCAGCTTTTACAGCAGAAGAATCGATACTAGCCACTCACAAGTGCTTCAATGGCCATTTCTGCAAAGGGGATTGTAGGAAAGTACAGGTTGAGTCTTAGGTGCCGAGCAATGAGTACTGGCTAGGTAGGAATACCTGCTTAAACGAGTGGGGTAAAATACCAAATAACCGATAGCTGTCAGCGAGTGGGATCATGATGATGGAACTGTTGGAGGGGAGCTCATATTGCCACGAAACCAAATAATGACAGCAGATCATGACGCTGGTGATGCAGGTTAGTACGGTTGCGTTGCAATTTGCTAGTCATGCGGTACAGTGCAATATCGTGGATCCCATCAGCCAGCCGCATCAGCCTCAAGGATACGATAATTGTCATGTCGTCGTTGGGTATGAGAGCTATAAGGAGCTATATCCATTCATAAACGATGTCTTGGCCGATGTGGCATGTATCATAGATATGGTTCAGGGAGACTCATCAAACTTAATGTTACAGCGAAAAAGCGGTCCTGATACGTCCTCGTTGTAAGTTTCAAATTCGACGAGCCATCGGACTAAACCTTAGATACCTTAGACCAGCCATTTTCAGCTAATGAACTAGCTGTTGCTTGTTGCGGTGCCGTGACACGACCTTTACATCCTCGCTCCTGGAGGGAGGCTGGGTGAACGTTTTGCAGCTACCAAGCGACTCCTTATCGCAGTGCTAGAGCCTAGAGCGCTCTAGAGCGTCACCACAAAACCTGGCCAGTCAGACTGTCATTAATCATTGCGGAGCTGGAGAAGCAACATAGAGACACGTCAGGCCGTATCCGAGTCACTGGCAGCGAACTGGTGAACATACCATAATGGTACTTATGATAAGCTAAAACTTGATCATGAACGTTCGAAGTTCGAACTACGAGCACTGTATATGTACCGTGACAAGCATGATATACGATAATTAAGCGAATTAACGAAATACTCGAATTACATAATAGTGTCTAGACAACGAGTACTTCGCACGCTGAGTCCTGGGGCTGGTTGGCTTCACAAACGATTCTGACGGTCTCAAGCGGTCTCATCGTGCCAATTCGACATCCGCTCGACATCTTTCTTGTTGGCTTGCTGAGTGTCTGCGGGACTTTATCACCAAACTTGCTAGTTGCAACGGATTCCGGATTTAAAAAATCTCACCGTGACGACACAAAGTATAATGACACTGTCCATGCCTCTCCCCAAAGAAAACTCGCCAGTATTCAGTGCGGTCACTCATCGATCATAGCGTGCAAGTTATTACTGTCGGTAACATGCCGATTGTTATATCAGTGGTAGTCACTGATGCAAAATCAAGTGGCGTCCTGACGATAACGAGCAAACCACCATGAAAGGATCGAGGCTCCTTCGAACAGTGCCCAGACAAGGCTGCCGCAATACCAGCTCTCAATGTGGGTTGCCTACAATATATAAGCACGCATAAACCGGCGGTTCAGTGACTGTGTCATGCTATGTTGACGCGTTTTTGCTGTTGGTCTGTACCATTTGAACAATTCGCTATTGTTTCTCTGTGTCCTCCTGTTTACATTTCTTTCCTGCGCGCACCTATGGCGACCTCTACTTCTTTTCACGGCGTTGTTGGCGTTCAAAAACGGCCGCAGATATCAGATTGATAAAAAGATTTTCTGGAGATACGATGGATTCATTGCCACTCCAGACAGTGGAGATCTTCGTGTCAATGTATTCACATTTGGTGCGAATAGTATAGTATCAGCCTGTTGAATGTTCTGCTGATAAGTACGAATAACCAGCGGTTTGGTGTCTATTGTGTCCATCATACTATGTTGCTGCGCGTGTTTGCAGTTGACTTTTGGCTGGAAATGCTATCCAAAATGGGCGCGTCAAAGCGACAAGCACCTCCTCAGCACCTTCGAACAAACACTGCTTGAAACGTGATTCCCTTTAGGCTTCCATCCAGCATCATGGGTCGGATCCGACCCGTAATTGCTAGAACTGCATTTCACACTTCACATATCAGATACAAGTCCCAAGGTACGTGACGTGCATCCTTGCGATGACCACAAGAATGATAACATCACTCTTGATCAATAGCTTCATCGAATTCTGATCATCTGAACCGCGCCTAGGCCTTTAACTTGGGAGATCGTGCAAAGAGAATAATTGAGCTTTGCGTCTGTCATATATTGAATATGAGGTCTGCAGAACCTCACATCAATATCGCCCCTGTTGCATGTAGTGGATTTCATGGTGTATTACGGTTTCGTTACTCGATTCGGATCCAAGTGCGATGATGGGTTACAGCGACTGCGGATTTGGGGTCGCAGCTGACTTTTGGCTACGTATTACAACCTCCCAGGACCTTCGAACCTGCGCGGGCAAACGCCTGAGACGTAATCCCTTCATGCTTCCATTCAGCATGATCAGATTTGACCTGTAATTGCCAGATTTTACGCCGAGGAACCTTGATATGCCCCATGATGCAGGGCTCCGATATATTACATACAACAATGTCTGTCCAAGGTGCGTTCAGAGGTTTACAGCCAGTTCCTATTAATCATTCTGGACACACCGGCAGCCGTGGCGAACCAGACTGGAATTTTCAACAATACCCAAAACCAGATTTCTGTCCGCATCACCAACGACAATGAGAATGGCACGGGGACTACTGGATTCAAAAGATATCGAGCCTGGGAAGTATGAATTGTGGAACCGAAACCACCGGCAAGTGGCCTTCGTGTTGAGGCATGCGGTCGAGCCAACTGATGGCAAGGCGGAGACTTTGGTTGTGAAGCCTAGTGGGGTTTACTACATCAACGATGTATGACCAGAAGCAGTTGGATCATTGTGTGTTGGGCTAGTACTATAGTATGACATGCGTCGTGTTGTACAACAAAGTTGCGAAGTGGAATCAATAGGAGCTCTTGTCAATTAATGATCGCCCATGTTGTGTATGTCGTTTGAAAGGTCAGGGGGTCCGCGTATATGTACATGCGCACGCCCGCCGAAACGAAGTCCCTGCACAGTACTTATACACCTGGTCGATTCGATCGCAAAAACCCCTCGATACCATATCCCTTGCAACGCATACGACTGCACATATAAACCCTCGGATTCCCCACTCCAGTTTCCAGATCCACGTCCGAGAGCCAAAAAAACGCCATATGCATACCATGATAAATTATACCTAGACTATAAATAATGCAATCTATCCCAGAGCAAGCATAGTCCAAGAGTCAGAAATGAAACGAGCGTGTGTGTCATGTACGAGGAAGAAACGAACGAAGGTGGATGCGTGTATGAACGAGTGTGGATACGAGTCCGAACGAGATTATGTGTAGGAATACTCGTAGGTGAGAAATGAGCGAAGATGTTAGGATGCGCAAAGGAGCGTGCAAAAAAGTGCTCGAAAATCGTACCCTTGCTATACAGCGATAGCAAAAGTATGACGTGCTCTCTCTCATCCTCCAAGCCGACAAAAAATCATACGCAGCAGAGGCAGGATGGAGACAGAGCACTAGATTAAGCATATGACGATATTAAAGTTAAAGTCGCATCAACGAGGAAAGGGAAAGAATGCACGAACGAGGTAAGAAATGAATGAAGGATTCAAGAAATAAGAAAAGTTGCGGGGAAAGAAGACATTAATATGCACAAATTTAAAAATGAAATATGCAGTGGGATGGGATGCAAGGGTCGTGGAATGATGGAAAGCATGCGGAAAATAAAAAGGGTACGAGGAGAAGAATATGAGAAATTGTGGATGGAGGTCGAAACAATAGTAAAACGTGCTGAGCAAAAAATGGGAGAGAGATCAGAAACAGAAAAAAACCGTACAATCTCCAATGCATCGCAAATGTCCACAGATTCCCCAGATGAAGCAACAGCAGAAGCAGGAAAATGAGTTCGGAGGATAATGCGTAGTGCGATGATGTGACGATGAATTGGTGTAACAGTTTGCCTTCTATTCCACTGAGTGCGTAACCACAACGGGGCAGTACATTCATCGCTTCATGCGGGATTCAGCCGTTACCTAAGCGAAAACATCAGCCATTGGCCAGACACACCACAAAATATCACCCACACAAAGAGCATCACTCAGCCTTGAACCGCGCCCCACCTTCGCCTCCACGCATGACAGCTTTCATGAATCTAAAGAATCGGTCTCCGTATTCAGAAGGCGGGACTGGACTGATTTTGTGCTGTTAAAAATAGCGTTTAGCGTTGAGAAACGGATGAGAGTTCGAGACAGGAATGAAGCTTGACATCCAAAGAACCACCGCCCCAAACTCAAAAAGCCAAAACACAAATCACACCAGCTAGCGCCCAAAACCCAACCCAGATGAAACCCATAACACAACTCACCCGATCAGCGCTCAACCCCTTCCAAAAATGCTCACACTTCTTCAACCCCCCATATGGCGTCAAAATATCAATGATCCCGAAATAATAAATGACGTCCATCTCTTCGTTATTGTCGTCTGTTGCCTGGAGGCCTCCTTCGTCTTGGTAGAATAAAAAGTGTTCGCGGTCTTGGGTTGGGTGGGGTTGCTGCGGAGGTGCGTGGGTCGGGGGTTGGTGTTGGTGAGGAGGGTGAGGTGGGTGTGGAGAGTGTAACGGAGTTTGGAATGTCGGGTGGGCCTGCTGCGTATTCCCGTTCCCATTCAAAACCGCATTGACGTTGCCAGAACCCTTGGAGGTAGAACGAGGACGGCTGCGCTGAGTAGGCGTGGACGGCGCAACAGTTTGCATTGATGGAGGAGGCGAATCAGGAAGATCAAGGGTCGTCCCTAATTGATGTGGATCAGATGCACGCATGATTCGGCGCATGGCTATCGCTTCAGGGGACCGCCCATCTTTCGTTTGCGTGGTTTTGCGTCGGATGGGTGGGACGGAGGGCTGTGCATCGAGAATTAGTATCCTATGCAAGGAAGTGGAACGGGAAAAGCCATGTAGACGTACCTCAAACACCCTTAACGTGCTCCCTCTCACATTCTCCTTGTTCCCCCTGTTCCCCCAATGAAGCCCAACGAGCAAACTATAATCCATAACCCCAAGATCCTTCAATATCTCACTATCCCTCCTCAACTGCTCCGTTAAAAGAGCCCTCTTCTCCGGACCAAGCTCTAACACTCTATTGCTATCGATCCAATTTAAATCCTTCTGCACTGCGCGGGGGTTCTGCTCCAGTTTCGCAGGCGGAAGGACACGCCCCACAGTACTTCCTTTGAGATCGTAAGATTCGTGAATATCTTTATGAGGCGGAAACAGATTGTTCATGATCACGAAATGGATCTTTCGACCCCTCGGAAGCTTCACCCGATGAAGACCATAGAACCGACTAAGCAACGTGTGCGGGTTCGCTTTGACGTGCTCCCAGTACCGCGGGAGAACGCGAAGGAGGAACTTGTGCTCTGCGTGTCGGATGGTCTTGATAATGAAGCGGTAATCCCGGGAGAAGTAGAAGAAGGAGCCGCTTTTACCTGGGGATGTGAGTTCGGAGAGGATGTATTTGGAAGTGAGAGAGAGGAGGTAGTCTGCGGGATCTAGAGAGAAGTGGTCTTCGCGGAGTTCGCGGAAGACCCATGGGGCGTAGTCTTTGAATTTGAAGTCGTATCTCGCGGAGGGAGTGAGTTCGTTCCCGACACTAGGTGAATGTGAGTTCGGAATATGGAACAGGAAGGGAGTACGTACATATCGAAGGAGTATTTGTGCCTTGCGGTGAAATCTTGGTCGGTGAGGGGTCGTTTTATCTTTGCTTGGCATCGTGAGACCTGGATGGAGTCAGAGCCTGCAGGATGAAGGGATATTGGATACGCACAGCTATCCTGATGCCCGTGAGCATGTTGTACATAAGGATGTAGTTTGCGTGGTCCTCTCCTATTAAATTTCCTACCAAGGGACGCTCGTCCTCTTTGTGAGCCACTTCGACAGCTGCTGCTGCGGCGACTTCTGCAGCTTGCTTTCGCTTTCTTTCACGGCGAATTTGCTCTGCTTGTATCTGAATGTCATCCTCCAGTTCTCCGGTTGCGACATAGGTAGATGGAGGTGGATGAGGACGGCGAGCAGAGCCTGTCGTGTTGCGGCGTACAGGACGGGCAGGTGGGTGGAGGAGACCATCCGGTTGCTGGGTCTTGGATGTGCTAGCAGTGGGTGCGTAGCTGCTCGTCTGAGAAACTCTAGGTACCCTGCCGGAGAATTTTGTCTCTGTAGAGGCACGGTGAAGGCGGTCGCGTGTACGCTGACTGTTTATGGTGGCTGTCTCAAGCTCTACATCAATGTCCGTCTCGATGCCTTTCGGGAGTGGGTCTGACTTGGAGAGTCGTACTGGGAACACGGATGATAGATTGTCAGGTGACTCGTCTACACTGGCTGGAGGAGAAGGTGGAGGTGGACCGATTGTGTCCTCACGGGGAATGTTGGGCAATGGTTTTGGCGGGCGAAGGTGGACTGCGTCCCTTGTTACTTCCACTATGTGAATTTGAGTATGAGTGTGTTCCATGTCTGGGCAGATGGTCGTTGTCGGCGAAGGCGCTGTTACGAAAGATGCGGCTGAGGACGAGACCAAACTGGATTGTCGGTCGAGTGCTGACTTGGGCTCGCTCGCAGTCAGGATTGAAATGCGGTTAGCCATTCACCCACGCTGACGAGCGATGAGTTCACCGTTGGACACGATGAGAGGAGACAGTCGCAGACTGGATTGAACGTTTGTCGTTGCAAGTCCAACAGCCTCAAACTACCAGGTGGTGGCTGTGCTTCTATCATTCTAAAATCACACCATCGGAACACAAACTTTACCGAGGTCACTGCACCGTGACTTGGTTATAATTATCATGATATGCATATGACATTCTTTGGCTTTCAGACGTGCGTCTGGAGTGGTATGATATTGAGGGGATTTTGCGATCGAATGGACCACATATATAGTGCTGTGCGGGGACATCGTTTCGGCGGGCGTGCGCATGTACGTACGCGCGGGCCCAAGGCTTTCAAACGATATACACAACACGGACGACCATCAATTGACAAGAGCTCCTGTTGATTCCACTTCGCGACTTTGTTGTACAACGACACATGTCATACTATAGTACTAGCACAATGCACAATGACCCAACTGCTTCTCATCATACATCGTTGACGTAGTGAACGTCTGAAGGCTTCACAACCAAAACCTCCGGCGTGGCATCACAGGGCCAGGTCGAATTCCTCACCACGAAGGCCACTTGCCAGTGCTTTCGGTCCCACATATAGTACGTCTTTGATTCGATATCTACGAATTCCTCAGTCCCGGTGTCATTGTTGCTGTTAGTGACACGGACAGAAATCCTGGTTGAGGTATTGTTGTAAACGCCAGTCTGGTTCTCCGAGGCTGCCGGTGTGTCCAGAATGATTAATAGGAACTGGCTGTAAACCTCTGAACGCACCTTGGACAGACATTGTATGTAGTAAAGAGATTTGAAACAGGTGTTCAACGCAGTGATAAGGATCCCTGGGGAATGAATCAGAAAGAAGGATAAATCAAACTAGTAGGGGACTCACTCAGAATAATCAAAGGAACGATAGGGAGCTACCTTCGATACTCATCGCGTATTTATACGCACGAACCTGAATGAATTCCTTCGGAGCTCAGATTCAAAGGTCGCATATTCCCTAAGTTATTGTCCGGTGGATTTTCCACGTTCTCCTTAGGGATGCAACTGATCTTTAGCAAACCAGTGATGCCTCGTGGTTCGGATGCGAAACGAGTAGCATTATCGTCATCATTCCTGCTGTCATTGAAGTATGTATGTAACATACCTTTGGGGCCCTGCATCATGTAGCATATCAAGGGTTCTCGGCGTAAAATCTGGCAATTGCAGGTCTGATCTGATCATGCTGAATGGAAGCATGAATGGATTACGTTTCAGGCGTTGCACGCACAGATTCGAAAACTGGGTTAATCGTTCTGACGCGCGCATTTTGAAGAAGTGATACATAACCATAAGTCAGCTGACGAATTTGAAGTTGCGATTGGCCCCAATTTTCTGCAACTGATCATCGCACTTGGATCGAGTAACGAAACCGCGACACACCATGAAATACACTGCATGCAACAGGGGCGATATTGATGCGAGGTTCTGTAGACCTCATATTCAATATATGACAGACGCAAAGCTCAATTATTCTCTTTGCACGATCTCCCAAGTTCAAGGCCTAGGCGTGGTTCAGATGATCAAAATTCAAGGAAGCGATTAATCTAGGTGATGTTATCATTCTTGCTGTCACCCCAAGTATGTACGTGACGTACCTTTGGACTTGTATCTGATATGTGGCCTTGTTCTCGGTCGTGAAATGCAGTTCTGGCAATCCCGGGTCGGATCCGACCATGCTGAATGGAAGCATGACAGGGATTAAATCTCAAGCGTTGCCCGTTCGAAGGTTCTGGGTAGGTGTTTGACCGGAAAATGCTTCATCAGACTTGAACTGAGCAACGAACTCGTGGTACTCTGTGGAACAGGATCCCAGGGGCGATATTGTCCTGAGGTGATGAACCCCATACTATTGCATACTTGTTTCGAAAGTTTGACATGCTTTTAGCTACGTATTCCTGTGAAAGCCTTTATACCGTTATACCATGGAGAGCAAAAGATCTGGTGGGCGTCAGGCATGCCGAACACTGATTGCCATATGTGTAAATACCTGAATTGACGCAATTCAACACGGAGAAGCATAAATATAACTAGTGGAGGATGAAAGACCTCGCGAGAAAGGTTGGGGAACCGAACGCGGCAGAGCCAACACTTTGCAAATGCCCAGCGCTCGCACAGGTCTACGCATGGGCGAGTCGTCAGGTCCGACCTGGTGAACGTTAACTTTCAACTGAGTCAAATTCTTGAATACACCTGTCTCTGTTGTTCTGAAAAAGCAGTCAGCAATTGGTTATGATTGCAATCTCAAGTGGACCACTTGCGCGAATATCATGCGCTTGGGCGCTTCCCAAGGCGGCCGAAAAGTTAACGCAACACCGCTGCTCAACTTTGCATGGCGGCCATTTAGGAGGAAGTCTGAATCTCGGAGATGATCTGCTTGTCTATCTGGAGCCACTGGCAGTAGTGCACTGGTGATTATTTTAGATCACATACAATGCTCTGTGTATCCTGTGCGCATCGTTCCTATCAATACAGTTGCGGACAAGAAAACTCGACAATTTTCATAGCCACCCCAGGTGATTTGTTCTAAGCCAAACCGAGGCCACATTGATATTTGAACTCGGGGTACTACGAATGGCGGGAAGTGCATGGATGAATTTGAATGTGACTCACGTGTGTGCGCTTCTTCAAACCACGCTAATAATTGTCGGCTGTGTACTTTAAAAGGCAAAATTGCAGCTGACGAGGTTTTCGAGGTCCTGTCATTAGGTACACGCACGTACCTTGTTTTCGGGGGAGCCGAAGCACTTCGGAAGGGTAATAACAAGGCACCTACGACTCCTGCAGCTGGCAATTACGCGCGGATCCCCTGACCTTTCAAACGACATACACAACATGGGCTATCATGCATGTCATGATCGACAAGAACTCCTATAGCTATTGATTCTACTTCGCAACTTTGTTGTACAACACGACGCATGTCATACTATAGTACTAGCACAACGCACAACGATCCAACTGCTTCTGGTCATACATTATTGATGTTGTAAACCACATTAGGCTTCACAACCAAAGTCTCCGCCTTGCCATCAGTTGGCTCGACCGCATGCCTCAACACGAAGGCTACTTGCCAGTGCTTTCGTGTCCACAATTCATACTTCCCAGGTTCAATATCTTTAAATCCAGTTGTCCCCATGCCATCCTCATTGTCATTGGTGATGCGGACAGAAATTTGGTTTGGGGTATTGTTGTAAATGCCAGTCTGGTTCGTCGCGGCTGCCGGTGTGTCCAGAATGATTAATAGGAACTGGCTGTAAACCTCTGAACGCACCTTGGACAGACATTGTAGGTAGTAGTAAAGAGATTTGAAACAGGTGTTCAACGCAGTGATAAAGATCCCTGGGGAATGAATCAGCAAGGAGGATAAATCAAACTAGGCCTTTAGGGGACTCACTCAGAATAATCAAAGGAGCGATAGGGAGCTACCTTCAAGACCCATCGCGAATTTATATACGCACGAACCTGAATGAATTCCTTCGGAGCTCAGATTCAAAGGTCGCATATTCCCCAAGTTATTGTCCGGTGGGTTTTGCACAATCTCCTAAAGGGTATGGTTCAGATGATCAGAATTCGACGAAGCAACTAATCTTCAGCAAACCAGCGGTGCTTCGTGGTTCGGATGCAAAACGAGTAGCATTGTCGTCATCATTCTTGCTGTCATTGAAGTATGTATGTAACATACCTCTGGAGCCCTGCATCATGTACGTTCTCGGCTTAAAATCTGACAATTGCAGGTCTGATCTGATCATGCTGAATGGAAGCATGAAGGGATTACGTCCCGGGCGTTGCAAGCACAGATTCGAAGGCTGGGTTAATTGTTCTGACGGCAAGCATTTTGGGGTAGTATTGCATAACCATAAGTCAGCTGCCATCTCCCCGCTGATGAATTCGAAGTTGCGATTGACCCCAATGTTCTGTAACTGATCATCGCACTTGGATTGAGCAACGAAACCATGACACCATGAAAATCACTGCATGCAACAGGGGTGCTATTGACGTGAGGTTCTGCAGACCTCATATTCAATATACGACACACGCAAAGCTCAAATATTCCCTTTGCGCGATCTCCTGAGTCAAAGGTTTAGGTGTGGTTCAGATGATGATCAGAATTGCTGTTATAGCAAGTATGTACGTAACGTACCTTTGGACCCATATCTGATGCATGATGTGTGTGAGATGCCTTCTTCTGTAATTTTCCCGTGAATTTGTGTACTTACCCCTTTTGGGGTATAAAAGTGGTCCAAAGGCACTCTTTGCATGTCAGAATCATGTTTGTATCACAATCTTGCCAGTCAGAGATTGTGCGGCGCCATCGTTGTCCCGACGTCAAGGGAGCCCCACCCACAAGGCTGATTATTCAACAGGCAACAGGCAGGCGGGCCGGCGGCCACTGTCAGCGAGATTCGAGATCAGACAAGCACCAACTGCACTACCACAATGAGATATGAGGGGATACACTTTAGAGGTTGTGGAAATACCATTCAGACTCAATTAAGGGAAGGTCAAGTGAGGTGCTGATTTCCCGCTGGAGAAACTGCTGGAGGACTTTTACGAAATAGCTTGCGGATTCAAAGTGTATGGGTTCTGCATGATCGTGTTCAAAGCTTCAAGTTGCAATATACGCCGGGGATTTGTCAAAATGATCTGGCTCCTCTTCTTTCTCTTCTTCCACATCTTTGGGGTCTTTGAGTTCTTCAAAGGTTCCGAAAACATCGTTATCATCCACCTCGCCTATACCAGAGGTCGGCGAGATGGTGTTGAGTATCATCCATACCAATGCGCTTATGCACAACGATAAGGGCCACGAAAGGTAATAGACATGTCTAGATTGACCGGTGTTCAGCTACAGTTTTTGACCGAATAAAGAACGTACACCCAAGCATCGCTAACGATCACAGTCGTTGGTGTCACCGACGCACAAAACCCGGGTAAACTTGCCCAAACGCCCTAAGGTCTGATGTGAGATGAAGTGGTAACTGGAGCTTTGGAGGTCATACCAAGACCCAAGCAACTGGAGCCCTCCAGTTCAATCCATGCCAAAACCTGGTAATCATAAAAAAAATAGCGCGGAGACATGCAAAAGAACTGCGCACCAATAGTCACTTCCGGTTTGTGGAAGGAAGAGGTGCGAGAGTTTGATGCGGCGGTGCCTCAAGAGATGATAATCCGCCTGGATGTAAAGTTGTCGTTCAGACACAAAGGCTCTGGGACAGAAAAACGCGAACTTACAAACATGATCCCCGTAAGAGGTCCCAGGAAGACTGCATATCCAGAGATGGCGGAGATGAAAGAGTTGGCGGTCTAATCGATTCAAGCTCGTCGTCTCGTCGACAGCTACTGATGTAGAGTGAGAAGACCTACGTTCATGATTTTCCAAGGGTTGATGCATATTCCAATGACCGCGATGATCAATGAGCCACGACGGATGTTGATGTAACTATCGAGCTCCGCACTGAATAGAAGCTCGAGAGAAATATATGAGGCTTACCGAGGACACAAAGCTGCGAGATCCATTCCGCCTACGACACCGCATGCGACAACCTGTGCCATTGACCAAAAGTCGTCAGGCGAAAATATATACTAGCCTTTGCGGAAATGTACCGTTACGCTCAGCTGCGATAAGAAAAATGCGAAGGCGGCAAAGAATACTGCAGCACGCGCAACAGGGGCTTCGTTGCGTTGAATTGCTTGGAGCAAGTCATAAAGTTTCCTGCGCCATATGGGTTATCTCCGTTGTACGTTATAGAGAGGTAGCCTACCACAGTAACGGTTCATTTGGGTAGAAGCCCCGTGCACAAGACGTTGTTACAATCCCAAGGATGTTGGATCCGAGAAGACACAGAGGGATGCTAAATATCTGCCCATACACTTGGTCTCCCGGGTGGACTGCATAGCGTGAAAAGTCTAATAATGGTCATCTAGTTAGAGATCGGTGTCTTGCAAAGGATCACGCACCACTCTGATACAAAATCTAAGAGGGCTTAATTTAGCTTCGTACAGAGTACACTTGATTTAAGAAGTACTTACGCCACCAGCCCAGCCGCCGATGCCGCTATTGATACACCTCACCATCACCCAAGCTAGCTGAGAACCTTGAAGGTTCCCGATTCCATATACTGCTCTAAGGACACGAAACATTAACGTGCACCACGAAAGAAATGTCGGGGCGAACGCACTCAGGATTCGAGAAAAGCGGACCGCCATTTCCTTGCTTGACAATGGCCCAAATGAATATAGCGAGAGCGGCTATTAATACAAGGACCGCGGATATAATTGCGGGTATACGATATCTATTAGTGGGCGCATGATTCAAAGCCAGCATGACAGAAAAGTTAACGAGAACGCACGACTCGGGTTTCAAAAGCAACAACGGGAGGCACACAACCCAAAATATAATGAAGGCAACTGAAAGCACAAACGTGTCAATAATTGTTGTTGAGCGAAGTACATTGTCATACCAAAATCATTGGTTTCCATTGCAGCACCAGGTCCAAATGTATTCGGCAAGTCATAGAAACTCGCTAAGATGGTCAGTCACGTATGACAAGTCGTGGTGAGGTGTTTGACTTACGCCATATTGCACCAATCATTACTTTTGTCATCTGACCACCGAACCATCCCTGAACTCCGTACCAGCAACAGGATAGTAGAACACGGTTAAGAAGTGGAAACCACGAGCCCCGCCTGATACACACTTAGTGACGATGTCGAGAATAGAAATCAGGGCTCAAACTGACAATCCCCAAGGGGCACGATTTATCACTGCCTACTCAAAGTCTAAGAGGACATCGAGAACGGTAGAATATCACTTACAAACGGAATATGCCATTGGCCTCCTCCATAGCCGCTAATGACGAGGGCAGCGGTGATGCTAAAATAACGGATGCTATAATAAATCTCAGAGAGCTAAGTATGCACTTACATGATCGTGCTCGTCAGGTTTACTGCAAGATGAAGTGTGAATTCGTAAACTTGGCTACATGCGTCAAATGACTCACCAATGATCGCTTGCGGAACCGTGAGGCCCAGGGCGACTAAACATCAAAGTCAACTTGTGGCAAAAAATTGAATTCACATTCAACTGACGAGATGCGGATGCACCTGACCACTCCGCGATGTTAATCGCTGAAGTTGATGTTAGGCTCGAAATCATGTTCCTTCACGAAGCGTACCAGTGGCAAACCAAAAGAACACAAACACTTTCTTTGTCCATGTACGGCGAGAAGGTGGAAGAGGGATGATGTCGCCGTTGGTGTAAGGCGTCGTATGCCCAGGTACCTGTAATAATTGTATGATGTTAGATAATTGTATGATCGTGAACATGATTCAAAGAACTGCCAGTGCTAGCTTTAGGAACAAGATCAAAACGTACCTCGAGAAAATCCATCGTGCTTTTTGTCGGCATATTATGATCACAGTGATAACCGTCGAAGCAAAACGGTCGAAGCACTGCGGTTTTGAAGCCAAGTGAGAAAGGTCGGACTGGGGGATGATCGGATCAACTTTATGCTCGTGCCAGTGAGCCACTACTTATATCATTATAAGTAAGTTTGAGAACGCACATATAATTGGGGTGTATGCGGTGACTAAGTTTGTAACTCACCTTTCTTGCTTCGTACACCGTACTACTCGCAAGATTCAACGCTCGGCTTCACTCGTCCTCATTTCGTCGCACCCGCCATTCCGGGCCGCTCCTGGGTCATTCAGCAGCCGTCTCGGTATCAAAATCCGACAATCCCCGGCGCCCGCGGCTGTGGATATGTTCTTTGGCTACAACCTAATAGCGATGCATAGATCAGTTGACAGTGCTCCGACAGGCTGCGACTCCCGGCCACCTGGCTCGCATTCGAAAAGCCTCAAGTGTCTTACCCTGCAACATCCATTCTGCGGCACTGTAACTTAAGAAAGACTTAGAGTTCTGCTGACGGGGGATAATTTAAATTGTGGGTGTTCGAATGTTTACCTGGATGGCAAGTGATGGGAACGGATCACCTGGTCCAAGAACGACGGTCTTCACACTATTATACCTATTCATCCTACCTTGAGCTGAGAAAATTATCCCATTCTTGATGACATGCCAGCTTGAGTCCGAGTCGTGACTCGAGTCTAGAGACAAAAATCAAACGCGTCGGTCACGTGCCAGACGCGACGTACTTTCATTCAAGATTCAGAACCGACTCATTTTTGTTACACTCCACTACGGGCTGCGTCTTGTCGGTGCTCAACGTTATGCCCCCATTAGCTTCCTCTCGCAAAGTGGCAGCTTCAAGAAGTTCGAAGCCCAGGACTGCTGTCCCATCTTCTCATGAACTCGCCGAAAAGCCAGGGGACGGTCGAACAACATCCAAAGCGAAGGGAAAGCAGAAGGCGAAAGACGAATCTCCGGAAAAACGAAAGATTTCTGCAATGCTTGATGTAAATACATCTCTACAGACCCTATCATCAGTGGCACAATCCGGCTGGAAGGCAAATTCGGAGGAGGGGAGAACAAAGTCGAGCGCGTTCAACAAGGTGTCAGCTGCTGTCTCTTGTGCAAATGAAGCTTTGTCGTGTCTACGTGTTATATGTTCGGATGATCTCGACGTGGAGCGCGCCGCATCAAGTATGATGAGCAAGCTACTTGTGTTGGAGATGGTACGTGGCAGACCAATTCTCCTGCAAGTTCAACCTAACGGTAAAGTAGTACGATACAGCCCTTCCTTTTCTGAGCAATATGCACGGTCGTTTTCTTGCTTTGCTTAGAGTACCCGACCACAGAGTACCAGTCCACTCTTCTTCTACCTCAAAGTCGCCGGTTCACCTGCTTTCCCTCCCGCTGCCAACAATATTGCCGCCAGCAGACACCATGCTCCTCACGCTTATCTCAACGTATCTAATGCACTCAATAACTTTACTCGCGCATCTCGCGATATCCTCATCGTCATCGACCACCCCGGACTTGTTCTCTGCAGCCCTACTAGAATCCGGCACAATCTTGACATGGATGCCTTGTTGTGTATCCTTGCCCAGCAAGCATATAGACACTGTGCTCACACGGACATACAGCGTACTGACGAAATCATGCTCCTCAATTTCCGCTAGCTCGCGCTCGACCTTCCTCATCCGCATGTATGCACTCAGGTGCCTTCTCTGCACGAGCGTTGGAACTGTTCAGCCAAACACCTTCTGGGAACAAGTTCAAAAGTCGTGCGCTGCGTACGTTAAATCCTCTTCTCCCATGTCAGAAGCGGAGGAACTCTCCGTCGCAAGGCTGGTATCAGAGTCCCTTGGTGAAGTTGTACAGATCGCACAGTCCAGATCATCGTTCGTGGAGGGAAAGTCGTTTGTCCTGCTCTGCGAAACGTGGACAAGCTTTGCGAAACGCGTATGTTACGATAATTAAGACGCGATATTACATGGCGCTGACCTGTTGAACAGAGCAACGATTTGTGCACCCTTGACCGCATAACAGACCTGATGGGGCCGGGATCTACGTCTTGCTCGTCGGCTGAGGTTGACAATCTAGCCGACAATATCAGTAAACTTAACATCTCTGCTCCTTCGCCCAAGGACAAAGACACTGTTGTTCTCGAGTGTGCAAGAGCCTGTGCAGTATTGACCAAAGTCACTGCATCCCTGGATGCGCACTCCGGTCAGTGTTCATTTTGGTATCTTTATAATACCTGACAACATCATTCGCAGATGGAACAGATGACTTCTCCAAACGAGTTCACGATGCAGCGAAGTTTCTCCCTGGAATTGGGAGCCTTTTGTATTTCGCGACCGAACCTAATGATGAGCTGCATCGTGCGCAGGGAAAGCTCCAACGGACCCTAGAGAGGCTCAGACGAGCTTGCATCAAGGTCTTGGACGCAGATTCAAAAGATCAAAGCCACGCAACAATTTCGCTGTTGACGGCGATCTCAACTACCCTGGAAGGGACTTTCAAGCAGGTAGGCTTCAACCCAACCCTCGCACAAAGGAATTGACACGTTTCTGCGTTAGAACCCGAATAAGGACATCTTGACCGCGTCTCTCGATTCACTATTTATCCTAGCACGCATGCGGCTTAAATGCAACGATCCCGACACTTACACGCCTACTCTTGACCTCCTCAACCATACCATAGTCCTTGTGGACTCCACCCCAGATCACGCGAACGCCATCCCGGTTTCCGCGCGTGCCAACTACATTCGGTGCATCTCCGGGGCGTATCACAACATGGCTGGCATGTTGTATCAAAGTTCCAAGTACGGGGGCGCGGTACGTTTTTTGAAGGAAGGATGTCTACTTGGTGCACGTGCACTTCGCATGCGAGCGGGCGCAATGGAGGACAGCCCAGAAGATGAACGGGAAGAAGGGTGGAAACAACTCGAAGAACAGATGTTTCGGAGATGGGAGCTGCTTTCAGTGTGTTATTCGAAGATGGGGGATCGAAAGGTAAGTGTTTTTTTTGCATTACCTACCTCGTGTAAACGCTAATATTTCTGTGCGCTGTTAGCTCGCGTGTGACGGGCTTGTGGAAAGCGTCAAAGCCTTTCCATACGGTTCATCTGGCCTAGAGCACCTGGCTAGGTCAACCACGCCAAGCCATGCATTCAGCGCGAATCCGAGCTCGAAACAGCTTGGTGGGATCGTTGACAGGCTAACTTACGCAGCGACTTGCGAACTTTTTCTTCCTCCGACTGAAGTCAGCCTGCTTACCGTACTGAAGTCAGGTGCTATTAGCGATGAAGTCTTAGGTCTGCTGCTCGAGCGCCAGATTTCGACCCTTGAACCTTGCATTCGGAAAGACGGCGTAGAAATCATTGTGCGTGGGCTGTTGCAAGATGCTTTGTCAGTGTACAAGGCCGCCGTTCTTCCGTTGCCAAGGGTTAGAATCCTCTTGAAGTGCATGGAGTTTTTGTGGAGGGATGGGAATGCTAACGGTGGAGAGACTCGCTGGACCGCGGAGCATCTCGGTGAAGAAATTCTGCATTTGCTCGCTGTGGAGGTATTTTTTTTGTCCCGTTTCTGTTTCTGGATGTTCTAATTTTTTCATTCCAGGACCTTGTGCACGACTCCGCCTTTGATACATTACGCTTTCAGTACACTGTAGCGGTTCATCTTTGGTTGAGCCTCTTCGCATATCGCAGTGCAGGGTCACCAATGACTTCGGCCGTTTCATATCATGTAGAGGAGGCGTGCAACATCCTGCGTGGGCTCATTCCTGACTCTCCGACTGATACAAATTCAAAGACGAAGCGATCACCACGTGCAAAGAAGTCACCTAAGGAAACTGTTCCTGCGAAGAAGCCGACGAGAGCTATGAGCGTACGTACGACGAACAAGACCAGAGTGCAGAATCCCGTTACACCACGTCCGCGTAAAGGTTTGTTTTTCGGAAATTACTCGCCAGCTGTAGCGGCTGACAAGGTTCTACGAGCAGCTCTCGAGAATGTGTCGAATGTCATTCAAAGCACGCCGCCGAAGCAGGCTGGTGCCACGATTGATTTTCAGAAAGTGGTCATCGTGTTCGACCTCGAAACAATTATCGGTCAACTTCGTAAGTTTTGTTAGTATTCTCTCGAGAGCGCTGTTGATGATCAAGCAGAAATGAACATCCATTTGCTTGGACTTCTTGGTCTGGTCTTGCAGAAGATCAAGCTTCTGGAGGCTCTGAAGCGTATCTGCGAGCGTCAACTCGGCTTATCCGCTGATTGTGAGTGCATCAGGTGTTCTAGAAGTTGCTACCCTTATCCCTCTGAGCAGTATACATCATTATCTGCGTTGATCTCGCGTCAGAATATGTTAAACTGGGCAAAACGAAGCGGGCCAATTCCATTTTTGCACGGAGTTCGGCGGTGATGAAATCAAGTGATGTTTCTGATGAAGTACGTATCAGTTATTTGCTCAGATATGCAGAGATTTTGGCCCTTGGAAACAACGTTCTTGGAAGGTGAGATTACTTCACGCTAGGGGCTTTCTGCTGTCACTCAGCATGTCGCTTTCTAGTGCTTCCTCCTACTGTGAAGCCATGGGTTTGTCAGAAGCGTCTCTACCCGAAGACAAATCTCTACCGACTGCTGAACGGATAAGGCTACGTGCTGGACGACTCGAGCGGGCAGCGATGGCTTGCAGAGTCTCCGCAGCTATCCAATACTCCAGGGTCTGTCGTATTCGGTTGACATCACCTATTCTTGGCTGACTCAATTCTCAGAATAATGTTGTCGGTGCTTTAGAATGCACGTTGCAGTCGTTGCGACTGTGGAATCGTGCCGTGGACACGCTTTCTCGATTAAACCAGCCTTCCTCCAAACCCACCAAGGCAACGGATGACTCGAACCCGTTTGAGGCTACTCCTACAGAATCATCATCCGCCCACGATATCCGGGCCACCGATCATCCGAGATCATTAGGTCAGAAACGTCTCATGGACGGGATGGAGTGGCGAATGGTTGAAGAACTACTTTCAACACTACTGACACTCACTCATGCCTACTTCACTCGTGGCTCTTCCCGCGAAGCCGAGTACTTTGCTCAGCAAGCACAGGACCTCGCCGAGTCCGTAAACGCCCCGACCATGGTTGCTCGTGCGCTGATGCGCAAGGGTGAGATTCAATTGTACCAAAAACAACTAGGTACAGGAAGGGACAGCTTGGTCAAGGCTGCGGAGTTGCTGCAAGATATGCCAGGTGTGGATGCAGCCGATATGAGACGGCTGAACGGATATTGGAATTGCTTGAATGAGCAAGCCCAGGACGCCAGGGACCTTTACGAAGAGGCATCCGCGATGCTTGGGGCCCTCGAGGAAATGTTGGCGTCCTTTGATGGCAGGTGAGAGCCACAGCCAGGGTTCAATGTACTTCCTCTAATCAAATTTTCTAGTCGCCGGAAATCCAGCGTAACACTTTCACCACAAGCCGCCTTAGCTACCGCCGGACAGGGTGCAGTAGTCCCTACCTTGTTGTCTGACATTCTCCGCCGACACAGTAAGCAGAACCGCTTCTCAATTCTAAAATTGCTAACTGGTCGACCTGCAGTCTGGCTATTGCGCGATGATGGAGATGCTTCGATCAAGGATTTGATAGAGCGTCTAATGGCTTTGCCCACTTCACAAGACACAAAAGTGAGACTGGCCTATCCGTATCATATTTAAAGCTAATCTTTGATAGGGAGAAGAGCATGCACTCATGGGGAAACTTACCCTGCATAGTGTCTACGACCAATTCCGTTCAGATATGTTCCTGAGCTCCTTGGCTGAATCTAGTACGTACATGTTGCATACCAACCCACAAGAACTCAACATTTGTATGCAGCGATCGCATTACCGATGGGCATGACAAGCGACCGAGCTGTATCGCTTACACCTTCGACCCAAGATATCTTGAGTGCTCTGGACCACGCAGAGAAACTCTTTTGGGCTGACCTCGCACTCACCGCGGATCGGGGTCACGTCCCCCACGTCCGCGAAGCGACTATAAACCTTGCACTCATTAAGGCACTTCAGACATCCCTTGGTAAAGGGGAAAAGGATGGACCCATCATTGCTGCGCGGCTTCTTGGTAAGATTATGATTTATCTTATGGGCCTGGTTTTAACATCAAACTAGATGCGTCATCCGCAATTACTCTACGCCGCGAAATGCTAGAGACTATCCAGCATAAATTCCCCAGCGTGCAGGGCGATGATCTTGAATGGCCCCTTATGACGCCCAGCGGCTCCCCGCTACCTCGGAAGAGTCCATCGAACTTTCGGCGGCTGAGGACCATCAGCGCTGAGGAGGAGGCATCTGATGACGACAACGATTCGAAGGTGAACATGAAGGCGTACTGGGAGACTATCCGCAAGACGTATGCAGAACAAACTTCAGACGCTTCCTTGCTATCGACTACGGCCATGTCACAGCTTCCGCCTCATTGGACAGTAGTGCATATCAGCCTCACGCCTGATAAGAGTACTCTCTTTATCTCTCGGCAGAATGTCTCTTCTGAGCCGTTGATGTTCTGTGTGCCTCTTAAAGGGCGACGCGAATCAGACGGAGACGAACACCTCACGTTCGACGACGCAGTGAAGGAGCTTGCTGAGATTATCCGATTAAGCGACCAAGGGACACGCAATGCCGTTAACGTACGAAATGATGACCCGCAAGCAAGATCTGCTTGGTGGGCGGAGCGCAACAATTTAGATAAAAGGTTGCAAGAGCTGCTAGAGAACATTGAATTTTGCTGGTTGGGTGCATTCAAAGCGAGTATTTTCATTTTGGCGAATATTCTTTGGCTGAACGACGTTCGTAGACCATCCTCAGTCCTGTGTCACCTATATCGGCCGAACTCATCGCCGACCTCGGCATTCGTCTCGAGAAGGTGTTCAAGCGCATCCTTCCTCCCCCAGACAAGAAACAGAAGCAGTCCCCCCGCTTGTCTGATGCGCTCCTCAATTGCTTCTCATCCCTGAGTCCGAGGTGTCGTGAAGAAGAGCTTGAAGACTTACTATTCTTCATCCTTGACCTATACACATTCCATGGCATTCCGGTCGCCATCGCAGATATAGACGTAGATCAGGTAACAGTGGATATTCGATGTGCGTTGGAGGAGCATGCCACCTTCAAGAACAAGCGAGGGAAGATGAACTCAGCTAGTGTGGATGACTCTCACATATTCCTCGTCCTGGATCACAATGTACAGGGCGTTCCTTGGGAGTCGATACCGGTCTTGAGGGGCCAGAGCATGAGCCGCATCCCGAGCGTATCGTTCTTGCTCGATCGTGTTCGGCTTGCGTCTGCAGAGAACCGATCAGGGGGTGCTGTAGATCGAATATCCGTGGATCCACGCAAGACGTTCTTCGTGCTCAACCCCAGTGGAGACTTGAAAGGTACTGAGGGGCGGTTCAAACCATGGCTTGAACAGATGCGGAGTGTAGGCTGGGAAGGCGTCATTGGACGTCCACCAAGCGAACAGCAATTCTTGGATGCCCTTGCAAGGAAAGATCTCGTAGTGTAAGTGACTCTTAACTGATTACTACATCGGATCTTGATGACTTTCAGGTATTTCGGGCATGGTGGAGGTGAACAATACGTGCGGTCACACAAAATCCGTCATTTGCCACGCTGTGCGGCGACGATGCTATGGGGTTGCTCCAGTGGGTCGTTGAAGGAGATGGGTGATTTTGACAGAGTAGGCACCCCGTTCAATTACATGCTTGCTGGATGGTACGTCGCAACTTTATTTTGTCTGCAGTCCCTGCTTAGCGTCCATGGTGCACAGCCCTTTACTAGTGGCGAATCTTTGGGATGTAACTGATCGCGATATCGACAAGTTCTCACAGGCAGTTTTTGACTCGCTGAGATTGACACCGACTCGTAGCGGGGAGCAGGGTATGTCGGTAGTCACGGCAATTGCACAAGCCCGAGAGGCATGCAAACTCAAGTATCTCACTGGGGCCGCGCCAGTTGTTTATGGGATTCCGTTCTACTTATAATGAACAATGCCGCGCACTTATATTCTCTCTGCTCCACTCGCATTTTGTTCTACAAGCTTATCTACAATATATAAGCTGGCATAACCAGCGGTTCCGTGGCTATTGCGTCCACCCCATCATGCTATGCTGACGCGCGTTTTTCTGTTGGTCTGTACCAATGATCTGAATAATTCGCGTAATGCTGTATGGCGCGAGTTGATAAGTACCAGCACTGTTTCTCTGTGTTTTTCCTATTTACGCTTTGAATCATGCCATGTGCATCGAATCTCGAGAGTGCGTTTACACAATTTTCAAAGTTCTATCATGGAGAGACTACGGTAGCAGAGAGAAACATCCTATAGTTACTAGCCTACGCTCACTACATACTGCTTAGTGCCGACCGAAAGGGATCGCTTGTATACGTTATACTTAAGCCACCTATTCTACCACAACACGATTTGCCCTGCTACTGTATGTTAGTCTTTTGGAATTCCGAGGTGATGTCGACATACGGATTCAACCCAGTGAGGTACGTCAGTGTCTTCATAGGCGCATCAGGGAATCGCGGGAGAATGCGACAAGGAAATGTCTCCGGATGACTGAAATACCAAGACTCATCAGCAGACTTCTCGGGGACAGATGGAATTCTGCAAACATTGCAAAACCAGTGCTGAACTTCGGATCGACCGGAATGTCCATGCCTTGTTCATCAAGATCCTTGTGGGCTGAGAAAAACGCCAGGAAATTCACGATGGCGATCCAGCTTGACGCCTCCGCGACATGCCGTCCCACACTGACCAGTAGCTCTCAACGGAGAGCGAAGGATTACGAATAGATGCTCACCAGATCCGGCGACCCCAGCCAAAGGCTAAAGACATAGTGTCGCTGGTGAGTGAGCCGTCTTCGTGGAGAAACCTTTCCGGTTTGAATTCATCAGGACTGGGGTATTTCTTCGGATCGTGCGTCATCGCCCTAAAACTCGGTCATTTGGAGACACTCAGGACAAGGAAGCAAGGCTTTCCATGTGTTTGGAAATACAGCAATTCCTAACAAGCTGGGTCAGCGGTCATCGTTAAATCAGCACGATACATACCTTTAGGGATGAAATAACCATTGTAGACGTCACTGGTAGTTGTTGCGTGTGGGACGCCTGAGAATATTGTCAGGGGATGTTCAGAATGGAATTGTGTTGTTGACAGACCGAATGGTGTTACAGGGTGCCACCTGAGGGTTTCACGCAAAACAGCTTCTACATAAGGCAACGCTGGTCTATCATTGAAGTCCGGGAGTCTATTTTTGCCAACGACTCGATTAATCTCCGCGTGTGCTTTGCCTTGTACCTCTGGGTTGAGTACCATAGCAAGAAGGAAGACACGTAACAAGGAGATTGTCTGGATAAATGGTAAATTGATTATAATGGGCCAACGGAAACCAGGAGACTCACCGTTTCGTATGACGCTGAAGACAATAAATGAGCGTCGAGGAAAAAAATCTTCAACTTCCATACCTGTGAATGCAACGGCAGCAAGTTGTAATACCGTCATCCTTCTGAGAAAGGTGCGCCATATTCAATGCATCAGCCACAAAGCACCGTCCCGTGTCGTTAGTAGACTATGGGTGTTTAGTCAGTTAGTTGTATCTCTACCGATGGAATGACTCACCATCCTCTCCTTGACATGTTGAAAGGGTATCTCTTTCACATCATGGCCTGCCTGGATACACTTGACTGACGCTCGCTTGAATATGGCCCCAGGAAACCAGCTAGGTAGCTGCAAAACTAGAATAATTGTTAATTACATGCCATCACGGTATATGCGAACATACGGAAAGGGAATGTTTCCATCAACATCATAGCAGCTGGCGCCAAACCATCTGCTACCATTTCCGCATAGCTTGTAACGGCGTGGACAATGTGGTCATCCTTAGCTTTCGCTTCACAGTCATATATCATAGACAGCACAGACGACAAAATAAACCTTTTAAACATCAGCTCAACACTAGACAAGAAGGAACTGTCGCGACTAACATCTGAAAATGGCTTGCATGATTTCCAGGGTCCTGTAGAAGACTGAATAACATTTGGTGCGCGGAACGGATTTGCACAGCGTGATAGGTGGGTATCTCAGCTTGACGAAACGCTTGATGCAAAAGCCGTCGGTGAAGACGCCACCTGCTGGTTATCAGACGCCCATCGACATAACACGGAATAATCCATTATGTACCTGTCCCCGTATGGCATGAACCCCATGTTAAAGTCTGTAGCGAAGCTGACAATATGTTCATGATCGACGCAGACTATAACACTCCAAGGTGGAACTCACGCTTCATAAACAATTGACTGGGTTCTATCCGAATATATGCTGGAACGCCCTTCAAAGAGGTCTTTCGCGACCTCCTCAGAATTAATGACCAGGACAGGCTTGCTAAGCAAACGAGCATAAATCATGTCGCCTGGAGAACAAGATGAGCTGTTATGAACAAATTCCTATCACGATGTGCCAACCATATGTAGATCTCCAGGCATTAAAGGTCAGCCAAGGCCGAGCGGTGTCAAGACTGAGAAAATTTCCCAGTACTGGAAGGGGTGTAGGACCAGGCGGCAGCGGAGGACGCGAATGGTTCACCCAGTAATTCCGACAACAGCTTAACACAGCTATTGTCAAAGCTGAAATGGCCAAGTAAAGTATAGGTCCAGCGTCGAGTATCATTGGATGAGAATTGCTGCCCATTGGGTGCTTAAAGGAGGAGGGTGCGTTGAAGTATAGGTCTACTATACACACATATATATATATATCGTACCGAGCTAAATAGGATCAAACGAACAATCTGATCCATGATGTTGAAAACATCGAACTCACCACACCAATCAAGCATGTGGGCACTAGACGATAAGAAAATGGCACGTGGACGGCCTGTTTCAAATCATGGTGCTGCTCATTATGTTAGAGCTCCAGCGAGACCGGCTATGAGCGCATATTCATGAAGCGAATAGTGCTTCTGTCCAAGAAGAGTCTATCAAAGACTCAGACCAAGACTTGGGGAGCAAACTAGTAGCCATTAGGAAAAGATCTTGAAAGTCGGCCCTGAGGTAACTTAAACCGCGGACTTTGGAAGACCCAACAAGGAGAAGCGTACGGTACCCACCAGTCGTCTTGACTCGTGAACGACCGTTTTCCTTCGTCTAAGTTTTGCCTAGGGGAGATGACATCGTCGTACAAAAAGTCGCAGATGATGTCCAGGCTGTGAGTCAGCCGGATAACATTCATCTATCCCGTGAAGTGTGCTTCCAGCTGAGGACCCCGAGCCTCATTGGATAAGTCTTGATCTGGGTATGCAGTGGTGTATTCTAGTGGACATCGCATCGAGCCAAGGGAACATTCTGATCTAGGATGACACACAACCGGCAGTCAGACTGTCAAAAGCTGTCAAGCTAGTGCAGGTCTGGTAGAATATCAATGAAATTACAAGTGAGTACCACTGCGCAGCTCACCAAGCGTCCAAAGACAATCAAATTACCCTGGCCTGTGCGAATGCAGCAAGTTGATTCAAGCCGCGCACGGCTGCCAAATCGACGCAGCTCCCGAAGCGACCATATTGGTCTCCCCTAGCCAGACCATATAGAAGGAAGACAGTGAAGTTCTTGATTCATGTTGATATAAATTTAGGCCCCCGGAAGCTCCAGCCAAGGTCCACCCGATTCTCAATCATGCCTGGTGACTCTATTGCTAGCTTTGGGATATGAATAAAAGCAACATAGTGCCATTATAAGGTCGGTGGTACGAGATACGACAAAACTATGTGGGTGAAAAGTGTGAAACGAAAACACATGGGACAATAAGGGAGAGGTTGGTGGGTAAAAGAGTATATTCGCATTCCGAGTGAGGAGCGATAGGCGCGACGAAACTCGACGTTGAGGTAAGGAAGGAAACGGATGAGGAGAAAAACATGGCGCCAACTCAGCTGGACGATATGGTACCGGGAAGTTCCGGCAAGCTGCATGTGCCGACACCTGCAGTGAACATCCTTGGTACGGCTGATTTCTCTCTAAATTCCCTGAACACCATGCGGAGTGGTTTTCCGAAGCGGCTGGAGTGAAGTCAGAACACAAGGTAATGGGTGGCTGTGCTTCATTTTACCTGGTCGCAGCTCGCTGTCACACGCTTTCACCGAGTACTCGTTGTATCGTCCGCTGCAAAGTCACGGTTTAGCTATCTCATACCCGTCATGCTCTCGCAAACTGTCTCCTCGGCACTGTCAGTTCAATCGGACTCTGATATATAATTGTTCGGCTTTTCCGTGCGCATCGTTTTCAGCGGTTTGCAATATTACCTCGCGAATTATTCTTGTTACCCCAGTGCACTAAATGAGTTGTACGCCTCAGTCAAGCATCACAGGACCGAGTCTCACATAACCTTGCCGTGCCACTTTGGCTGACTTTGACGCCCACTTCGTTAGCACAGGTTCTCCCAGTCGGTCATCTTTTCATCTTAGCGCTTAGTCTAATCATACCAGCGTCTATTAATATTGTGCCAAACGGTCCTCCATCCACGTCCCCATATCCCTACCCACGTCTTCTCCTTCCACTCGTTCCGCCCATCACTCATCCCATCCTCGATCCTCATCGTCTTACTGCATCGCATCATCATGTCCGGTACCTTAGAAAGCCAGTCTATGAGACTTGAGGGTGCGTCACACTGTATCGCCTTCGCATCCGTTTTGTGATCCTCACGCTCTATCTACAGTTATCAGCGCAAAAAATCTTGAAATCCCTTCCGAGCGCATTCCCGCTGGCATTTACGTATACATCAATGTCGACTCGAGGAGGCGCTGGAAATCAGCCATCAAAGTCTTATTAGCCGACAAATCTGTAGCGTGGGGTGATGTTGTGACCCTGTAAAATACAAGTAAACTTTCGGACGTGATTCGAGAACTGATCTTCGGTTTACAGATCATCACAGGCGTCATCTGCATTATCAATCGAGATCAGGGTGTCCTATGAGCTCAATCGAATGCTAGGCAATGGCGAAGTCATCGGAAAACTCGAAACATCGTGGGATGAGTTACTAAATCATGCAAATGAGCCTTTTGGTGAGTGATTCGCTCCTTATTCATGCACGATGATCTACTAACACATCGCAGAACTGTCCTTCCCACCTGTTTGTGGTGTCCACCCTTCCCTAACGTTAAAGACTGCTGTTGTACATGCCTGCGACAATCAGGCCGGTACACTGTTTGATGTGAGTGATGCCAGACTTTATTCTGCTAGCTTATGTTCACAAAACACCACTGTAGTCCCACGCAGACTGTGAGATTGCTCGAGAGACAGATGCGGGCCACGCAACGACTTACCGAATACACGTCCGGCAGGACGGTCTCTCACCTCAACGGTGCTGTAGAGCATTTTCAGCTGGTTCTGGACCAGTGTCCAGTCGGCCATCCTGACCAAGCAGCAGCTCTCACCAACCTTGCGTGGGCCCGCCTTCTAGGTTATATTCGAAAGGATATTCAAGACATTGACACCATCATTGCGCTCTTCCGCAAAGCCCTTGCATTGCGTCCGCATGGCCACCCCGATCACACGCTATCTCTCTATTGTCTCATTCTAGCATTGAACTGGTGCTATGACAGGGAGGACACCGCCGTCTGCATTCACGAATCGGCGCAGCTGTGCTGCGACCTACTGCCCCTCTGTCCAGAGGGCACCTACCTTCGTAGCATCGGCGTAGACAGCCAGGTCGATTATGTGATCCCACGATACAACACACTTCCAATTGATGCATCCAATGAAGGCATCCGCCTTGGACGAAACGTCCTCAAACTCTGTCCTCTGGGTCACCAACACCGTCCCAGCGCCCTTGACTACCTTGCACAAGCAGTTGAGGCACGCTTTGACCAGCATGGCAGCATTGATGATCTAGAAGAGAGCATACAGCTTGGTCGTGAAGCTGTTTCTCTGTGCCCTGAGGAAGATTCCAGCCGTGATACCTACATCCATAACTTGGCATTCTCACTCAAGTCCCGCTTTGATCACCAAGCCAAATTTCATGACCTAGATGAGGCCATCACTTTGTACGAAGAAGCACTGCGTCTGCGCCCTGTTGGGCACAAATATCGTAATTTTTTACTGGATAACCTAGGGCTTGCCCTCTGGACCCGTTTCGCCGCACGCGGTGACATTGATGACATCACCCGAGCTATCAGCCTCCATCGCGAGGCATTGGCGTTGCGCCCATCTGGGAATCCACATCGTGGCATTACGCTTGGCAACCTTGCCCTCATGCTTCAAAGCAGATTTGCAAAATCACATGTCAGCGAAGAATCTGATCTTAACGAGGCCATTGATCTGTGTCGTGAATCCCTTCGGATACTGGGGCATGATCATCCCAAGCGCCATGCAATTCCTATAAATTTGAGCTCGGCGCTCGGAAGAATGAAGATGTCAAGGAGGCGATTGATCTCTGTGAAGAATCATTGTTGAAATTGCCTCCATTGCACCCGGATAGATACTTCAGCTATTTGAGGCTGGGGGAGGCCTATTTGTCTCGTTACCGAGTGCACAACAACCCTGTTGATTTGTCACTTGCAGTGGAGAACTTCAGACTGGCATCACGACACGATACTCAAGGATTCCTAGAACGCATCCAGGAGGCGATTCATTGGACAGATGAAGCGGAGAGGCACAGCCATGCCTCCGCACTGGAAGCCTACCAAACCTTTTTCGAGCTTCTTGACAGACATCTCGCAGCACAATCTTCAATTGTTGCACGACGCGAATCTGCTTCTGCTTTTCGTCGTGCCAGTGCACTGCCTGTGAATGCAGCATCATGTGCTATCCGCCTCGACAATCTACGAGGCGCCGTTGAACTCGTGGAGCAGGGCCGTGGCCAGCAATGGTCGCTGGCCTCTCGCCTGAGGAGTCCACTTGAAGACCTCGAGTTCACAAATCCAATTCTAGCTCACAAGTTCTCAGAGCTCAGCAAGCGTCTGTCTGACGCTCAAGGTTCCGCGGCCAACACAGACCGAGCTGCAGCGGATCGCGCAGCAATCAAGTACAGGAAGCTGACGAATCAGTGGGACGCTGTGGTAGCTCAAATCCGTAATATTCAAGCTTTCTCGCGATTCCTGCTCACGTCATGGCCCAGTCATCATCCTCATTGCAAGTCAATACTCATGCAGCGCCATCATTGTCCCGACGTCAGGAGAGCCATATCATGTTCCCTTGCCATCGATCACTCTCGCAGATTTGGAGAATCTCAAAAGTCGCTTTGCCTGGGCAATACCGCAAGCATCTCGGATGGGCCTGACAGAGTCGAGGACTGACCTAATAGTGCTCTTGCGGGCAGTATGGAACGATATCATGCTACCTATCGTCAACGTACTCGAGAACGTTCTCGAATTAAAGCGCCGGTCTCGTATATGGCTATGTCCAACTGCAGCTTTCACATCTATTCCTCTCCATGCAGCTCACCCCTATAAAACGAAGGCAGATCGCTCTGGGAGGGAGCTATGTCTGGAAGATCTTTACATCTGCTCTTACACGCCGACTCTTTCGGCTCTGATAAGGTCTAGACAGATGATGAAGACACATGCGACTCCGCCCTTCGTAGCGATTGGACAGGGCCAACCTGGTTCAGGGAATGGCAAGGAACTTTTGGCTGTTGACAGCGAGCTCGAGCTCGTCCGAAAGCTTGTCCCTGCAGCGGCCAAGTGTATCACTATTTCCGGCGAAGCAGCCCACACGAGCAGGTGCACTCGAAGCTCTGGAACAGAACTCGTGGGTGCACCTTGCATGTCATGGCAAGCAAGACCACGACCAGCCTTACAATTCTCATTTCGTGATGAGAGACAAACCTCTCACATTGCTTGATATCATGGAGGAAGACATTCCGCACGCCGAGTTCGCGTTCTTGTCGGCGTGTCATACCGCTGCCGGCGATGATGAGACGCCTGATGAAGTCATCCATCTCGCAGCTGGTATCCAATTTTCAGGGTTCAAGAGCGTCGTTGGCACGCTATGGGAGGTCGACGACGCTGTCGCAAAACACGTTGTTGAAGCTTTCTACGAGACTATGTTTGATGGTTCGAAGGATGGGGGTGTCATGGACTGCACGAAGGCGGCGCGGGCACTCAACCATGCTAAGTTCGCCGTGATGAAGAAAGTGCCGCTCGAGCAGAGAATTGTGTTCATTCATATCGGTGTGTAGGTCCTGCTGTATTGTCTTCATCCCGTATGCCGAGTTCACGGGTTCTGTATATTGCATTCTCTTTCGTTATCATACTTCAAATTGTAAAAATTACTGAATCACCCTGTTGCGTCTGCATGTGGATGTTCGTGTGCTCCACTTTTGTCTTGTTTTCGCTTTCGTAGTGTATTGTTTACTCTAGAGTCTTGAGAAAAATAATTCGTTGCTCTACGACACCCTGTATATATTCGAATATTCGCGACATCATCTCCTGCAGCTGGTACCTCATCCATCCATCCTCACGCGTTCGACCCCCCATCGCCGAAGTCCATGATTGTTGAATTCCCTCTCCGACGGACGGTAGTAAGTTATGCGTGCAGAGACACAGCCACCTCGTACAAGCGTAGTCACGTGAGGACAGTAGAGCCCATCTTCGGAGTTTGTTCGGAGTCCCCTTTAGTTTCAAGATCTTCTACCATGGATGTTTCGAACAGTTCGTCACCAGCCCCTCGAGTCACTGACGACATGTTGCCCAGCGCTGAAGATACGTCTGTTGAGCGCCCTCGGACACCTGAATCAGCCCGGCACTCACCCTTAGAGCCAAACAATGACCGGAATACACCGCCTTCGCTACAAGAAATCCTTCAAATGACGTCTACCACAGTCAACTTCATATCAACCATTACAACACTCTTCCATGAGAAAGGGGAGCAGAACTCCCGCCTCCGAGAAGGTAAAACTCGATGTTCAGGGCGCATATAGTCACCTAGACGCGACCTCCTCACGAAAAAATAGAGCTTAGGAGGAAAATCCTTTTCACCGCGATGAATGCACACGCCTGGGCAAGCGCGAGGATTGTCCACGAACACACAGTCGCACGAGACACGCTAGAAGCCGGGATTCACAAACTTGTGGAAGACGAGAAGGATCAAGGCAGGTCATCTCACCCCGTTCCCAAGTCAACGTTTGGTATGCTGCATGCCATCTGTATCACTTCGCTTTATGCTATGTTGATTGCTTGTTGTGGTTGCTAATGCTTTTTTCCTTCTAAGATCGCATGCGCACGCGTTTGTCGGAAATGTTTGAAGCCATCAACAACACTGTTGCCAGCTTGGCGGGGCTCGGTTGAGATCAGGGTTTCATGGTGCGCTGTAACTTAGGTACCTTGTCGACGTTTCTGCCCAATTCGAACGAGTCTTGCTGTGTCGTTCTTGGGGGTCCCCCCTGATGAACTGTGCAATCATTTATCAACCTGTGAGAAGTGTCTGCGTGTGGCCGGAACGTTGCAACGGTCTTTGTCTGGATGGTAGGATGGTCATTAATATAACATGATATTATGCTATCGAATAGCTTCTGAGCGCTGAGCTTCTGAACATTGCCTGTATATCAAAATTCTAAATAAGGCAATTTTTAAGCAATATTTCGTGCTACTTCTTCGCTCAACCTTCCGCTGATACTTGCCTAGCCAGCTGCAAATCAACTTTGCCGGCGATAGCAATCAGACATGGCCGGCAAAGGCCCACATTGTTCATTCGTTCTTCTTGCAGAGTTTGATATTGATAGTGGTGCTCAGCTCACATATCAGTTTCCTCAGCCGCTGGGAACAGACGAGGGGTGAATTTCGACTTGACCTAACCCGAAAGATATATTGGTTGACTATTCCATGTCAGTTTGCTCGCAAATCTTATGCTTCCAGATGGGGCAGAGAGGCACCTTGAAGATTGGACCATCTTCTTCCTCAACCAGACGCCGTTCAATACCATTGCTCCAGTTCTTGCTTTGGAGACAGAATCGAGTGACAGTCAATCAAATGGAGAGGATGGACGCCCGGAACTGCTGTATGTCCTCAACTTGGTGCGGACGAAGCATGACAAGTCGGTTCGGAGGTGTGTAAACAGTTTTGACATACTCCACTCCATCTATATGCGTTGCATTGCAGAGGTGCCGTAGTAAAAGCGATGGCTATCTGCACACGGCATCCATTTATCCAAATCTTCAAGGTATGTCTGAATTTCATGTCACTTCGCTTATTGCTCACCGAGCACCAGCCTGTTCTCCTTCTAGCGCTTGACGACTATTTTGCAAACCCGTCCCAAGAATGTCTTGCGCGTCTATTTGATGCGATAAACTCGATGAACATTAGTGCCGCCCCTGCACTTACGCGATGTGAAAAGTTAATTATGCGCGCCTCAGAGCGCAAAGACATCTTTGCGGACAAGTTCTCCAGTCATATACCCCCGCTTCCTCTCAAAGCTGCACACAAGACGACAGGCTCGAATGGCTCACACTCATCTGAAGACGGCGTTCTCATCGGCTCTCGCACACGCTCTACAACAGCAGTCTCTGATCCTAACCCCACACACCCGTCCTCTCCGTCGGACAGCTCGTTCAGCCTTGGGGGGAGTGCGGTATGGGTGAATGATGACAGCGCCATAATTGATGGTCAAGTTGGTGTTGCAATAGGTGCAGGCCCAGGAAGTGTCGTTGGCGCTTCAGTGAGCGGCGGCAGTGTTCTTACCAGCCGCGGGCGGCGTAGCACTGATACAAGCTCGAACTCGAGCCACGCTTATAGTGGTGGCGCAATACCCACATCATCCGACCCACATTTACGGTCGGGGATGTCCAAAGATACCCATTTTTTTCAGACCAATATCGCATACAAAGGACACACCCTGCCAATCAAGCTGCCTCTGGCCACCTTTCCAGAGGAAGTCGGAGAGGTGCGTCTCTTAATGACAATGAGCTTGATATGTAATTCTGAACATGCGTTTTATAAGTATTCCCTAATTCAATTAATACAAACGTTTTCTACGCCTCTCATCACAATCTCCGGACCGCTACACCCTCATCTACACACGAATGGAAGCCTCACGCATCCAATAATAATTCTCTTTAACGCGCTTGTTACTGGCAAGCGCATTCTCTTCCTAGGACACAATATCCCCGCTGGACAGGTCGCCAATTACGTCCTGTCTGCTTGCGCCCTTGGTTCTGGATGCGGTGCGGTGCTACGAGGATTCATCGAGCGATCGTTCCCTTATGCAGGACTCGCGGGCGGCGAGGACTGGGTTTCAACGTATGTTTTTGGCCATTTTTTCTCTTGGAAGAAACATCAATGATATTTGTTTCGCAGGCCGGCATACATTGCAGGTGTAACTAATCCTATCTTCGAAACCAGTGGATCCTGGGATCTTTTGATGGACATCGGCACAGCTCGTGTCGTCGTGCACAAGGATATTCACCTATCTTTCCCACCGACGATGGCCCCGCCTGCGCTTGTCAACCCAATGATGCCACGCCCAATAAAGGCAGAAAACTCGACCGGGAGCGAGGATGACATCCAGCGTATCGCGACTCGAGACGGGAAAGACGGGAGCCAAAAGAGCGAGTTCGCAGCAAAGCCAGACTGCTTGGATAACATGTTTATCGAGGATGTAGGTCTTGTCGCATCGCCTCGATCGTGTCGGCAACCAACTGATTTTTTTGCTCGGTGTTTTAGCTAATTTCAGCCATCACCTCGCATTTTGGGGAGACGCTGGTGCGGATGCGGTTTACGGAGTATGTCGCGCGCTTCATTCGGCTGGCGTCGCGGTACGAGGAGGTCGCCTCGGGATCGACGAAGCTTGGGTGTGCTAGTGCTCCGTTTGTTGACGGGTCATTGGGCAGCGGTATCGTGTTTCCGGATGACGTAGCTGCATTTAAGGAACTCGCTACGAACGCAAGCCGGATTGAGGGTTGGCGACGGAGCAAGTCATATCAATACTGCGTCGAGGTGCGTGGTTTCTATTCCCAAGGATGCGGGCCTCAAGGATATATTTATTTTGGGATCCTCCGTGTAGGATTTCAGAAAATACCGGGCAACCGCTGCCATCCAGGGATTCGACCTATCGCATCAACTTTCAAAACTGCGGCTGGTGAAGAACTTACCGGATGCGGAAGTCGAGCTCATCGTGCGTTCGATAGCAGACAGCTTGCGGACATATGAACAAGTAGTCGAGGTGAGGCATTTCTCACACTTACGGAGTTTTTCCTCAAATTTTCTTCCCATAGCTGCTCGCTTACATGCCACCGCATGCTGGAGGATTACAGCCTCTGAGTTTTTGCCTGTTCCACCACCAGGAATCTATTCGAGAAGCCACTGTTGATATTTTCAACGTGCTGCGTCAGAACCCCGTGCGTTTGTTTATGCACGCTCATGGAATAAATCACTCACTTGCTTACAGGTCGGGGTTATTTTTCTGCAAGCTCTGAATCACTTCCAGAGGTATGCCTATGTTCGGCAGGCGCACGCTCGTGAATCACGCGTGAAGGATCTGAACCATGGTCTGGCCCCACCCCCTCACCTCGTATCACGGACGCCGTCCAACCGCAGTGAAGTCAGTCTAGGGGTAATATGAACACACGAATAAAAAATACTCGCCAGTTTGCAAGTTCTCAGTCTATGTGAACTTACGAAATACACTTCTTATATTCCAAGGGCGCGCGTGCGGCACATGTACATTATATAAAATACAAGTGTTTGTGCTGGCGCCAGCACACCTCTCGAACCCCTTCCTACTACTAGGGCAGGGGAGGGACAGGTGCCACCGTCATACGGAGGACCCATCCTCTCGAGGATCTCCTTGAATTGAATGCCAGCGACAGAGTATTTTACTGAGTAAAGAGCTTTGGTCGTACTCATCTGGAGAGGTGACATATAAAGCTGCCCAAACAAGCAACACCAAAAAGCATGCGCCCGCAAACATGGCGAATCCGCCGACCACGTGCGAGGCGAGGAGAAGAAAGTGGGCCACCATGAAGACGATACTCCATAGATAGAGGCCTTTTGGAAGACTGAATACAATGGCTGAGGGGAGCATTCCAATTGAGTGTGATTTTGCGGCTCTTAGATAGCGTGCCTAGATGAAATGGACTGTGGTCAGCTGGATTGCAGGGCGTTAAACAGGAGATAATGCGAACGGCAAAAGATGCAGTGGCGTCCTCTAGGCCGTGGTGCTTTAGGAGCAGGATCGAGCCGGTGGCGAGGCTTCCAGACGCTGAAAGAATCGCTGGCAGGGCAGATGACATCGAAGCACGAGATAAAAGGCAAGAGAGGATGGTGGCACTACAAAAATTATTATTATGGCGTCCTCGTTGTCCGACAACCAAGGGCCTCTCACATTATTACTGGGAATGTCTGTAAAACCATGAATTAAAGTTCACAGCACTTTGATTGAGATGTGCGTACCCAAACTACGGCTGTGTTCCATTCCGTGATACAAGAGGTCATGAATATTTGCCATTGATCGACGAACACTTGCTCGTTTGCGAACAACTCGTGGAGCTCAGAAAAGTAGCGGCCGGGGATTCCCCACAGAGCCGGGTTTGCGAGCGATTGCACCCATTCGTGATCAATGTCTTCCTCTGGGGTCATTATTTGCAACCTGTCTAACTGGGCATTTTCTTGCCCGTAATACGTCATGAAGCGCTGGTTTTCTGAGATGTGTCTCAGTATAGTGGCGCAAGTCAACTTGAGCATCCAACGAACCTATTGCACCCCATAAGCGAGCTAGAGTATTTGTGAGCTTCACTCAGTAGGGAAGTTATTGTATTTCCACTCACCGACAAAACATAATGTATGCCCATCAAGGGCTCGACCTTTATGGCAAGTTTAGATGAAAAGATTGGGTACGCTTCATGCAGAAGTCTTACCTCGTTGGAGAGAAAGGAGCTCTAGTAGCTGACTACACCTTTCCGCAGTGTAGGGAAAGGTGGACGACCGAGAGGTCAATCGATCTTCACTCAGGGCTCAGAGAGATGAAATTCGCTGACAAGAGAGTAAATACCTGCTGCACCATGAGACATGACGCCAATCAGATCATCCACCACCTTGGGTGAAATCTGGGCGTGCATGTGCATCGGGAAGAATTCAACATGTACCCAATACAGCCTTTCAAAAGCAGTATCTGCTGACACGTAAGGATAAACGATGGGGTAGTGATTCTGGTACACACACCGAGATGGGAGCTAGATACTATGGTGCCTATATCAAGGGCTTCCGTAGATATGTGCTCAAGCCAGAAGATACGGTGGGTATCATGATCGACAAAGTAGTAGGCACAGGAGAATATTGATTCATCCAAATCAAGCTCAATGAAGAGCTCGGACTTTGGCGGGACTGTAATTTGCTGCTGGAAGATCGTGTCATCGATATACTTGAGGCAGCCAGTCACCCGGTGCTCGGTCTCTTGCCTGCAAACATTCGCTTCTGTGACGACATCGTAGCTTGTGAGCCTCTTATGGAAGTACCGCTGGCCTTCAGGATGCGGATACGAGTCCCAATTCGAATTGCTGTCAAGAGAACTTCGCGCGGAGGAATTAATTTTAACGCAAATGAGCGGTGAGCGGCAGACTGACCTCGGAGCGCTGCAGGACCCTGGTGGTATGACAGTGTGATAAGAATAGAGGCTAACACGTGGATGTTAGTGCGCGCATGAGCTTTGGCTGTTGGGGAACTGACCTGGAGGACTTGCCATAACGCGAGGTAGCCACTGGGGTGATGGGTCTCAGGACTCCCGGCGGCAAGTATGCGGGGAGTTGGGCTTCGACATTTTCACAGTGTTGAATGCTAGACATGCTTGAGCCAGGAGTACTTTGGTGAGTCAATATTTCAATGTTTAACGTTGAATATCTAGTTTAAATGGGTTCGCAACCACACAGCATCATCTAGCATCACTTTTCGAATTCAAATTGCTTCCGGAAGTTCCGGACGGAATATATTAATATAAATATTGCTGTGCCCGTCTTGTCGATAATGTGCTTCCGATCGCAACCTGTGTAATCAGAGATCTTCCTGAGATGTGGACCCCGGACTGCACAGGATAATAATAAATAGGTAACGGTTGACGGGCGTCGACAAGTCGCCGAAAAAGGAGCCCTTTCCTAGTATGTGGCAGTTCAGTACAGCAACTTTGAAAGATATATAAGTCGTCCCTACGTAGCCGTATACATCTGACCCTCTAGAGTGGAACAGACACGGCTATCGCTACCTACCAACATCATCAATCTAGTGATTCTCCCAGTGGGCAATGAGCGCTTGAGCGTTGAGCGTCCGAATTCAGAGTTCAATTTGAGATCAAATCAGGTGGTGTCACTCACTTGGAAATGTCATGGGCAGAGTGATGAAAATATAGGGAAACATCAGGCAGCTGCAACCTAGCGCTATAGCGCTTCTTATATATGTATACTGCCATCAATAGCGGCGGAAGAAGTTTGATGGGCGCTGGCTCGTTGATCACTTGATTGGCTTATCAGACGCTGATGGAAGCCCCTTGGTTCATATATGTACTTGTTGGCAGGCAAAGGCTGTCAAAGAGTTTGCCGTTATCGCAGCACCCTAGCCTCATAAAAACCGTACTTGTCTGCAGTACTGACCTTAACGTGCTCTCCCTCCTCCTAGCTATGTCGTACCCCAACCCAGAAGATCGCAAGCGTGACGTTGACCGGTATCTAGATTCCACTCCACTAGGTTATTAAATCATATCTAATCCAAATTATCTCAGCAAAGAGGCTGTACCAAAGGTTCGCAGAGTGCGTACAGACAGGGAGGATTCCGAAGAGGAGTTTCCCCCACCCAAGGAACATAATGGAGACGGCCCCTCCGTCAGGTACAGATTTCTCCCTCCTGACCTGTTATAGTCCAGAGACTGATCCCCGATCAGGTTCACAAGCCGTGGACCACAGGACCCGCGTCTGGCCTCATACCAAGACCCGTCAAAGCGATCAAGCGGCTGGGCGGTGAATCCTCCGACTCAACGTGGCACCAGGTACGTTTGCTTCAGACCATTCATCCCGTACCGTACTTTAAAAGTGTGTGCAGTAGTCAGCAACCTCGTCAAGTCAATCCTGCACACTATTCATCTGCACAGCCTGCTTCTGCGCAACGTCCCCCTGCACAATACGCTCCCGCCCAACATGCTCCTACCCAACGTCCTCCCGCCCAGTACGCTCCTGCTCAGCACGCTCCCCCCGCACAGTACGCTCCTGCTCAGCATGCTCCCGCCCAACATCCCCCTGCACAATACGCTCCCGCCCAACATGCTCCCGCCCAACGTCACCCCGCTCAGTTCCCTCCCGGCCAGTATCCTCCCGGCCAGTATCCTCCCGCCCAATTCCCTCCCGGCCAGTATCCTCCCGCTCAGTTCCCTCCCGGCCAGTACCCCCCCGCTCAGTTTCCTCCCGGCCAGTATCCCCCCGCGAACCGCCCTCCTGCACACTACCCACACCAAGGGCGAAGGTCTTAGGTGAGGTACGGTCCGGGTTTTAGGCACCCATCGTTCATGCTGTGACTTGCTGTGAATCGTATATGTCAGATGTAACATTAGCTCATGCATTTCAAATATCTCAAATGTGTACAACAAAAGAAAGGTGATACGCATCATGATACGTTAGTTGGTAGTACTGGTATTCAGAAATTTCTTGTGTTCCTCAATGAAATTCATTTCATATTGATCTTCGAGAGCTCGAAGTTCTTCGGCACACTGGTTATACAACAGCGCCTTCAGGTATTATTTGTTAGCATAGCATTGAGACCAGAGCTTCACCAGGCGTTTTTACTTCTAAGAAGCCGTGACGGAAGTTGAGACCGCGCGAAGAACCGAGATTGTTCCGATAAACTGGGTTATATAGAGTTACCGGTGCGCTCATGGCAAGGCACTGCCCGTCCTTTCTATGTAGACCAATTCTACATAGCCACCAGCATAGAATTTGCTATACTTGGTTCACCGTGCGCTGCAACAGTTTATAATGTACAAGCTTCAGTTGCACACTGCTTCAATTTTGAGAATAGTAGACAACTAGGTAAGACTACATATGTACAAGCACCGCAATAAGCATAATGGCCAGCAAGAACTCACCGATTCCCTGCAGCTGATGCGCCGCCGTACATGTGGTCGGTACCGAGATCTTTGTTTGCGCTGCCGCTTCTTACATAAAGCGCCTCTCATGGTATTGATTCACGCTCAGGAAAATACGTACTGCAGCGTATTTCTCAGTGATTTGGCGGGGCGCCTAATCGTAGGATCATGATCCTGTACAATCAGACAAGCAACTTCATGAACGTTCCATGTTTGACACCATGATTATCTGTCTAACTCACCGACTGTACTAGTACAGCTTGCCACTCTGTGCCAATGCCGCGATTCAATCAAGGGAGTGACACATGGTAGAAAAAGCGAGAGTGTTCGAATGACGTTATACCGGTGCGCTCACGCTGCAGAGCGTATTTCCAATTCTGCATATGCATAGCCATCCGGGGGGACAACACTCGAATGTGCTATATTTGGTTCACCGTGCGCTGCAATATTTCCTAAACAGTTTACAAAGGTGCTTGTTTGGGTCATTGTCAATTTGTGGTCATAAAAATACCGCGGCCGGTACCGAGATCTTTGCAAATTGTATGCGTTGCCGCTTCTTAAAGGCGCCTCTTCATCATCTGGTTTTGATTAACGCTCAGGTACTGCAGCGACTTTCCCTCCGTCATTTGGCGCGCGCCTATTCTATATCGTAGGATAATCATGATCCTGTACAAACGATCAGACAGGACTTCACGAACATCATGATTATCTGTCTAAATCACCGACCATGTGCTAGTACAGCTCGCCACTCTGTGCCAATGCGGTGATTCAATCAAGGGAGTGATATATAGTATCAAGAACTTTCATGTTATCGCGTCAGGCGCTCACCTATTCTTATTTCCCTGGCCACAGCAGGTACTTACGGCAGTGTAGTAGCTGAGTGTACAGCTTATCGACGGCGACCAATGAATGATCGCCCTGTGGTAGATAACAAGCGCCTCCATAGCCCAATGCCATAAGTACCAGTGTGGGGGTAACCGCCCGTCAGGTCGTCTTTCCTGTATCCTCCAGTATAAGAAGGTCAACGTGGAACTGCTCGATCGTTCAACGACAACAATGGTTTCCTTATTTCCAGTCACAGTCACAGAAGACCTTTCACTTGAAAAAAATCAAGGGTGAGATCTGGGAATCCGAGACAATGTGTCTGGGTGTTGATCGTCTCTTCCAGTGTATTCCGAAATGATCCAGATGAAGATGATTCCGATCTTTCAGAAGAGGAAGATTTTGATCCAGAGGACGAGGACTCGATCCAGGGTCCTGTAGTTGGGTTCGTTCATTTAAACACAAATATTTGACAAGCGGGGCCCAGGAACTTACTTGACGAGTAGCTTTACTGGGCGCGGGAAGCAAGATGCCCAAAGTGCTGGCGCATCTGACGAAAAAGACAAGAAAAAGACAGACAAAGACAAGATACAGACATCAACCAAAGACGAGAGTAAAAGTGTTCCCAAAGATGCCAAGTACGTCCGAATCATAAACAACCGACGTCCTATAATGACACAATGATTATTTACAAAGGTCACGTGGGAAGACCAGCCAAAAACCTCGAAAGCCCAACCCAGCCAATTACGACTGATCCTAGTCGACGATCTGACCCCCACAGTACTAGTTATATACCATTTCCAATATTCCAACTTGCATTCTTGCTTCTTGGAAGACTAGTACTGCCTTGGTATCTGGGGGTTCTGTCAATTCTTATGTAGATGTGTAATGTTCTATGCCATCAATTCTTATGTAATGTTCTATGCCATATCATATCAACCTTGTTTTCACGCAGTACTTTCTCTGCGTAATGTCAATACAGTATACAGTGCCGACACATGTTCTGTAGATGAGGCCCTTGAAGTTTAAGGGCTGGGAGTAGGGCTGTATGGTGTGGCGTCTACAGTGCTCCCGTTGCAAGGCACAGTAGTAGCATGGGCTTCGCCAGCACAATCAGCCTAGCTTGTAGAGGTCTGGGGTAGTTTGAAATTCGACGCCTTCAGATCCATCGATTTTGACTTTCCAGCATGCCCCTGTCCTTTCGACATATGCAAATCAGGGGTTCGAATTTCGCACCACCAGGGACCCCATAGACAGACAGCTGCATTGCACTCAACATCTGAGAGAAAGTCTCCAAGGCTGGAAACCAACTACTGATATCTCGTGGAAGAGGGATCAAAATACCACGCGATTCGGCAATCCAGGAATGAAGAAGCACATGAATGATTGATGGACTGACGCAGACACATTAGGGAACAGTCCAAAGATGTCTCGAAACACACTAGGTGTCCAAGGCTCCGCAATGTCGTCATATGTATGGGCCGATGTCATCACAAACCTGCAAGACCAATTACGCAGCAGAAAATGCATATAGCAAAATGGAGATTTCCTCCACCTAAAAGACTGAACAATGTACGGGTTTTTCCGCCGGGAACTTCGGTTGCATTTTTCGTGATAGAATCATGCGTATAGGTAAAAGAGCCTTCTGAGGTGTCCACCGTAAGCGTGCTTCTCCCTGTGGCAAGACACGCTCGAGCCTCGCATACAACAGCCTCTGAGGAACAGGTAATATGAAGAGGTGCGCAAGTCCCTGGCTCGAGCGTTAGAAAAATCTGCACGAACGACGCAGCATAGGTAACACGAGTTCAGGCTCGGTTAAAATTAATATCTAGAAACGAGGCAGTTAGCCCAATGGCAAGACTCCTGTCACTGTCTCAAACCTCTCGAAATAAAACCCTGAACTCTGATTCATGTCACACCCCAAAAACAAGCGTTCTATCTCCTACGCGTTATGGGCGTCCACGATCGAGGTTCATCAGATCCTTTCAATGCCTCTGCCCAGGGATCCCGTGTCTGCGCTTTTGGGCGTTGATCGGATTCTAGAGGTTCGAGTCTTTGATCCACAGGCACGTTCTGCGTTGCCGATGGGGACTGCGTTTCGATTTGAGAATGGTGGCTGGGTGCCGCTACTCGTTCCCTATTAGCTATAGCTATTTCTGCCTGATCCCTCGCTTCCAGAATGGCCGCGTTGACCTTTACCCGTTCTTGACGTGCTATATCGACATGCAACTCCTGTGAAACGAAAACAATTTTAATTTCAACGTAAAATTTCAGCATGGGGATCACGTTAGAGGTTGGTGTACCCCACCTCGATGCTCGGTGGATCCGGCCTAGTATGCGTCAGCCATGCTGACCATTGCACTGCACACGATGAAAAATGAAGTGAGATGAGAAAACAAGAACGTAACAATGAAAATACAAACCTGGCAGTCGCTTTCCGCTAGCAACGTATGCCCACATATCTTCATTTTTGCGGTACTTGACTGTTCGTTTGGAACGTCCTTTATACATAAACAGTTACTCCGTTAACGGGGACTTGACAGAGGTTTCATTATAGTCGTACCATTGTTCGCGTTGGGATGCTCAAAGTATTTGTTTCCTGAGTTGTCGGATCAAGAGACACAGGACAAGGACATGTATCGCGTTTGGAACGTACCTTCCAAGTCTTTTCCAACAAAATATGTCTATGTGGAGCTGAAGTTAGCAGTGGGATGTCGATCGGCCCATCACCTACTGGCTTCAGTATTCGTTGCCACAAACGTCTCACAATCGACATGGTACAACACGGGCTGCCTGGGAGGAATAACAAAAAGTTTTGAAACAGTCACAGCCTGCAGGGGTAAGCGAGAGCGGCGCCCACTAGCCGCCACACTAGTCGCTCGAACTTGTCCGAGCGGATTCACGGAACAAGCATTTTTGTCTCATTTGGCCGTCAATTGCAAGCTCCGATGCGGCCAAAAGTGTGCCGCTGAGCATGAAAACACGAAAATCGGACCAAAATCGGAGTGAGTATCAGTCAGCTTGCTGTTTTGGCAACCGAAGTTGCCGGGGGCTTGCATGCGGCTACTTGCAGGCTAACATTTAAAGTTAAGGAGCACTATCATATGCTCGTACTTGCTAGGGAGCTGGCTCCATAATAGCTCCAATGCTCAGCTCAAGCTCGACGAAAATAAGACAGTAGGCATTGCATTATTTCTACAAGGGGAAAGAAATTCTCTAGTAATCTCCAAGACCCTCATCGTCATCCAAGTCTCCGTCTTGGATTTCCTTTGCGAGCTCTTTCTCGCGTTCCCGCGCGTCCTGCGCAGCAGCAAGCTCCTTGCGGTGTGCATTAAGAGGATAGCGCATCGCCTGCAAGATCCGTGTGTGAGACAATTCTAACGTAGAGTTTCCAGAAAACTTTACCTTGACACTCTCATTGTGTAGATCCAGACAATACCCAATTCGTCTGCCAAATACCTCGCTAGCCTCCGGGCCATAGCCGTCCTTCTGACTTCCGCATTCCATCCAACCTTTCTCATGAACGATTCGGCCTTCAATAACACCGTCCCGGATTGCCTTTCCGACAATGTACTCCGCGTCTTCCTCGGAATCGAGGTTGAGTTTTAAGCAGATATCACGCAACGAGATCCTCGAGTACGAAAGAGAAAGTCTCCGAATACCGGTCTTTATCACGTTTTGCCGGAGCCGAACGATCAGAGTATAAGTCTTGTCGGCCTCGAACTGCGAGGCGTGTTTATTCAAGGTTATCTGGAACTCCGATAGGGAGCCTGTCCGAACAGCTAGGGGAATGCGTCAGCATTGGCATTGCTTTAGACAGCTATAAATTTTCCTACCCTTCACGATGTCAAAGTAGGCACTCAGGGCTTTTTCTAATACCGGATGCCGGAAAAGACCTCGGTCTGGAATATCACCCATTAAAAGTTCAACAATCACGAAAAGTTTGTGTACGGCCTGGTAGAACCCTGGTGCGGTCTTTGCAGCCGGGGCGCGGCGGATAGCCTGTTGCAGGTTCGTGTGTGCAGCAGTGTAATTGAGTTGCACAGCTTTGATACGCCCGAGGAAATAGTGGTAACGGGCATACTGCGGGTTGCTCGCTGATGTAGGGAAAGTAGTTTTGGACACCAACTTATCAGCCTGGTCGTAAAGGTTGTAATGGAGATAACCCCGAAGCAGGCGATTGATCAGCGAGGCTTGGGTGTCATCATCGTGACGAAGGGACGCAGTGCGCTGCGCAGCGAGGAACATTCTGGAAAATCGATAAGTTGGAAATCTGCTAAAATTACATGGATCTGAACTCACGGACGGGCATCTGCCAGCTCTCCACCGAGTTCGTATGATCGCTCCACGGCGAACCATATTTTGGCAGCTATTGGATCCATACTTCTGCGGTTCATGGACTGCATTTTGTCAACAGTGTCGTGAGAAAGCTCTATTGACTTGGAGTATGTGTCTTTGGACGAGTGGAGATGATGAATGATGAGCAGGCGGAGATAAATCTCAACTTCTGGTACAGGATCAGATATCGGCTTCGACGATGGAGGCAGAGGAGCAGAAGCATTTTCCTCTGATGTTGTATCTATTTCCATGGACTGTTCTGCGGGAGGAGCAGGAGGAAGCCATGATAGAAGAGAATCCTTGACAGCAGAGTCTGCGCAAGGTTGAGCTGCGAGCAGATTCAGAAGGTGTGGATGCACCACACACCTTTGGGATAATTCTCCTCGATGGCGTCGCGAAGAACCTTGTCATTTATGCGCTTTCGCAGTGCAGTTAGTGAACGTAAAACGCGATGGGTGAACCGGGTTTCGAGGTCATTGATAGCGCGGTCGATGAGCGCGATGTTTGCCTTAATCTCCTGCGTCGGCGTCGGCGGTTCTGGCTTCTTTTCTTCTTTCTGTTCGTCCTTCTTGTCTTCTTTCTTGTCAGTAGCTTTCACCATCTCGACGTCGGGCATGATGCAAAACAGAGTGTAATGACGCGGTGACGCGTCCTGTTCAATCCGTGATGCGTCAAGTAAATGGATTATGTAAGTCAGCGAGGTGCTAATAAATCATTTAGGTGAACGTGCTGCATATCGACTCTATAGCTCAGTGGTAGAGCACACGATTGCAGATCGTGCGGTCCCGTGTTCGAACCACGGTGGGGTCTTATTTTTTAACGCTAAAATACTTAGACTCGATTACAACAAGTTCTTCAAGTTTTTATTCTAGAAAGTAATACTTTGAGAACCAGATTGCTTCCAGTTAACAACCCAGCTGAGTTGCTGCAGTAAGCTGAGCTTGAAGACCTGATACTTGTCGACTCGATATGTAAGACACGTCACCCAAACTGGGACTGCACACCTTAACCAAAACCATGGCATGGCAATTATCTTGGCTGCTCCTTGCAGCAACCGTCCAAGCTGCCTCTCTATCCCTTCAGTCTCCTCGTTTCACGATTAGCGCGTCAGATGCGACTCAGCTGCGCTCGGACACGTATGCTCTAATCACATCCCTGTCGTAGTATAACTCATATGCCAGACAGGCTGTCCCTCACCAAAAAACCGGAGCCTTTGACTCTTGGCGCAACTGATACCCTTAAGCTGACGTTCCAAATAACGGAGAGCGACGAGGGCAAAGGTGTCCAACCGCACCAAACGTTCCTCCGGTTCTATGACAAGGTATTAGGCGAGGAGGGCATCCAGCCTGTTCGCGTGACCCCTGGAGGAAAGGCTAAATTTGAGTTGGTACGTTACATCAGTTTGCTGCTGCAAAACGCTTTTGACTTAATCACTATTATAGAATATGATGCGCCCGCCCGCGTCCATTCCACCAACTACGGACAACGCCCTTGAGGTCTCGCTTATCCTGGGCTCCTTCGTGCACGCACCTGCACAATACGACCTTTTCGACCTCTACATACCTGCCTCCCAAACTCTCGCTGAACACCCGGATGAAGCCTCATTCCACGCCCTCCCCATCATCAAGCACACCTTCCGCCCCGAACAAAAATCACCTCCTCAGTTTATCTCTGCCGTATTTGCAGTGGCTGTATTGTCGCCTTGGCTGGTGCTGATTGGACTGGTGCGTTTCATTGCTGTCCCATTACTTGCTTGCTGACAATCTATGTTATAAAAGTGGAGTAAAATTGGCGTCAGGGTTCCCAACCTCTTTTCTATCAGCATCATGCCCTTTACCGCCCTCCTCGGCGCCTTTGAAGTGCTACTTGTCTGGTACTGGGTAGATCTCAAGCTTGGCCAGGTGCTTCTATACGGAGGTATCCTTGCCGTTCCGACTGTGTTTGCTGGTAAGCAGGCTCTGTACGCGACTGGAGAATGGAGAGCCGGTCGGAAGTAAAGTTTGCATACTTGTGACTTTGTACCGTCTCAATCCTCTGATACCTATTGTGGCTTGCCCTGTGGACAGACAACACACTTAGCGTTATGAGAGCAAGTGCAGATATCAACATCCAGGATAGGAAATGACTACTTAGAAAGGTGCTTTGCCCTTTTCGTTAAGTCGCCCTCTATCCATTTGTCCTACATAGAATTTGGTATCAGCACGGTTGAGGCCTGCTAGTGTTTGACTCGTTACTGACATCGTCGCAGATGTGCATGCGCGTTTGTTCACATTCTCAGCTCGCAGGTTAGCAAGTACGAATGTCCTGCAGCTGGTGCAAGACATGATCGATCAGGCAAACTTCGATAGTAGCATTTTCCATCTGCTCTCGATGTCCCCGGACCTCAGGCTAGAGGCCTACACTTAATGGTTATACATAATATAACACAAGCACAAGACGCTACAATGCGCGAATTGTCTATTAGTCGGAGACGAACTTCGTCTCCCCTAGGCGGACCACAGATGAATGAAGATAGTCGTTCTTTTGTTGTGCTATGAAGACAAAGGGTTTCTGTGAGTCGATTTTATCGCGTCGTCGCCTAGGATTCAATGTGGTCTCTTTGCAGTGGTATATGCACAGATAAGACCTGCGTAGAGATTCTCGATAGTCTCACTCAGCAATCCCGAGGTCATGTGGCTCGTACCGTTGCGATCACCCCCCACCTTAACTTACACTGGTGAGGGTTGCCCTCAAACTCACTCCGAACATTTTTCTGACGTGACCTAGCCGATGTTCGGCGGCATGCAGGAATAAATATCTCCCAAGTACTCAAGAAGACCTAACTGAGGTCAATTTCACAACGAGGGAGGACGCGCAGCATGTCCAATCGATGTCTGACACCGCGAGGAAAGGCAGACCAGCCATCACTCATGCAATCAACAAATATTTGGTCTATCGAGCATGGGAGCTCGCTTCTGCTGCGACCTCCCACAGGGGGTGGAGTGCAGCTGCGTAACCTCACGAGACAATATCAATATACATCGCAATCGCGCGCGACTTTGCCAAATGCGACCACTACGCCGAGAGTCGGCGCAAGGATGATACCAAGCTCAGGCACACTAGCGACATCCCCGGAGAGACCATAGCAGGGTTGATGAGGGTTGATGGCGGCCAACACTAGGGCTAATCACAACGGTGTCTTCACCACAGAAGTCCGACACCCAGTGGGGTTCCAAAACTCGATGCATCAATTTACATGGGATATACGCGATATACCGTTCACGAGCTCACTTTGCTCATTTATGCGGACAACCAGCTTCCGTACACAGACCGGTCGCGAATTCAAAACCATTCGTCGTTCCTAGTGATATAGGCTTAAAAAGTCCCAAATGAAAGATGGGAACGAGGCACGCACTCGTTACTACGCCGCACTAGACTCGCTTGTAATGTAGTTGCGTCTTTCATCATTTCTTGGCTGACTTGGCAGCTTGAGGCAGCATGTGCGTTTTTCCCGGAGGGCTACTTAATCGCGGACAAGAGGTCATGTTTCACCTCGAACCCGTTCATCATCCTGCACCCATTTGACCTTCACCGAGATCCATCAGACCGCAAGGGTGACAGTTCTGGTAGTGTCAGCTATGGTTAACACCACTACTACGGCGGGTCTCATTGGCGTTGTTCTTCTGGCTCGCCACGGCGATAGAACAGAATATTACCAAGAACCCAATACGTTCAACTCCCATCAGACATTCAATGACGAAATGGTATTGGTATATAAAGAATTATATTGAGTAAAATCCACGCAATAAGTGCAACAATGATATGTCACATTATTTAGTCTTACATTGTAGGATAGGCATGGCAGAACTTGCCAAATATGCAAGGATGAGAATTCACTTGTCAAGGCGTCATCAAAGGAACATAGATTGCTAATGTAAATCTAGTGTTACAATTGTGACACATACATGGACTGCGCTCCCTCTAATTATAATGGATGCTTGCCCTGACGGAATTCATAAACATCACCATGGTGACAGGGATTTCAGTGTAACGTCTGGATGGCAGGACAGGCAAGCTTCGCAATTGTGACGCCTCATCAACTCTAGTGACTAAGTATATAATGAATGCTTGTTTTTATGTATCATATGAATCACACCAAAAAGACAAGTGTTGCACGGGTGTGTCCAATTGATATCGTTCTTACAAGTACCGCCCACAAATACACTTGTGATCAGCAGCGTGATCAATGGTGAATTTGGAGCAAGAGTCTCGAAATAATGCATACTATATCTGTAGTGACAGACTGATAACATAGCTTACCAAGATGCTACCATCACAACATGAATACCTCGATTGCTACCTTTGATAAAGATATACAAAGATGAAGTATTTACTATGACTTACTTTCAGTCCGGAGGCTGGGTATAATCTCTGTCTTACAAGCAACTTTTATGTGTGGTTGAAGTATCACTGAACATTCTCTAGTAACGAGGTACAATCAACTATCATGCGCCGACGGTATGCTACACACTGCCGCCGTCACCATCAGGCACTGAAACCACATTCATTCGTGCTCGCCTCTCCCGAATTCTCGCCAATGCACTATTCTTTACGAGGGGACGTTGAGCGGTCGAGAATGAAGGGAAAACTTGCCTAGAAAATGTGAGAATCAGCCGAATAAAACGAGTCATCAATCACCTGTTCCACCATACGGTAAGGTCATCCACTTCTTGCTTCTCGTCCGGGTCTTCGAAAATATCTAAAATGGAATTGTAGAACCTTTCCGAGTCGGTGACTGTATCTGTACGCGAAAACACAGGCGATGAGGTGAGCGCGAATCGAATCTGGAATGAATATTCTTCGTTGAGTAAAAATGTATAGATCCAAAGCGTAGACAAACCTGCGTTGAAATATATGCGATGGAGGGCAGTGTGACTCGGGTCATTCCATGAATCCTAGCGTTACCTGAACGAGTTGCCTTTGGTTCTTTGTCCACAGAACTGGGGGACGTGAAGACGTATCTGTATGCCTAAGAGTCTAGTTGAGAACAAAGAAATCTGAAAGCAACACAAAATACAAATCTTACACAAACTAGCAAGGCGCTTCGAAACAGACCATTCCATGGATCCTCGGGATCATAATGGTAGTCTGCGTACAAGAATAACGGCCACTGGTCTCCAGTCACGATGATCTCACCACTCTTTAGTTTAGCTTTCGTCCTGCATTCAATTAGTAATGGTGCCAAGGAAATAGATGCCACGCACTCAGAGTTAGACCAGTCGAGGCCAGCAGGACAAAGTAGTGCGCCTGTCCGTTCGTGGTGAAAACCTCGGTCGACTTTCACGTTGCGAGCGAGAGGAGGAATGAGATTTTGTCCCTTTGGGGTAATCCAATCGAGGACACTGCCTTTGAGACTTTTTGTATCATCACCCCTTGCTCCAGATGCGCCTTTGGTGAGCTGACGCAGTATATGAGATAAGCGGTTAACTTTAAAGACATAGGAAAGCGAGATACTTGCCAGCTCTGCAACAGGCGTCAACCTCATCATCTCCGCCCTGCATCAAACGCTCTTCCAGGCCTGCGACAGACTTGAGAAGTTCCTGAAAAACACGATGCTCGCGTCGTTCCCTTTGAATACACACGCGATTAAATGGGCTGGACACAACTCCGCAGGAAAGTAAAATACTCGGCTGTGAAGTTTTCCTCCGGAGTGTCGGCTAATTCTCCCATCCGTAAGATTCCGTTTGTGAGAAGCGCTTGGAAGTTGCAAAGAGCGTGAACCTGTTCGCCCGAAATGACGACCGTAATGAACCAACGGATCCGTCGCACTGCTGTTGAATATCGTTGTAATGAGCATTATTTCCCGAAAATATCATGTCACTCACGGCCTTTTCCTGGGCCCCAGTTGTAGGGCATCAACCGGTTTACGACGTTGGCCGCAAGACTGCTGGTCCTCTGACATGGCAGGTGCAATAACTGTAAGATGAGAAACAATTTGAACTATGGCCGCGACTATAAATTCCTTTTGCTGCAATGTTTGCTGTAGTTTGAGTGGGCGACTGTGAATCTGTTTTAGGAATTCAACGACCTACCGTCAATTACGGAAGTACAGCCTAAAGCCGAAGCGCTCAAGTGAGCGTTACAGATAATTGTGAGCCGGGCCTGCATAGATGGTTCAGGCTTAGCCAGGGTTTGTCGCCAGAAAAAAATAAATCGTGCCGTCATATATTTGCTGCAGTTTGAGTGGGCGACTGTGAATCTGTTTTAGGAATTTAATGGCCTACTGTCAATTACGGAAGTACAGCCGAAGCGCTTGAGTGAGCGTCACAGAAAATTGTGAGCTGGGCCTTGTCCTTGGGAAGACTGTTGCATGTGCGGATCACATAATCCACACCATTCTTCCCTGCTGTGATGCTGCAAAGATAGGTGGAAAGCTGAACAGATTCGCGGATGTCGGTAGCAGTGCGTATGCGTCTGTAGCGCCTGGTCAATGCATCGGTGAGATGACAGAGGGATAATGTGTGATCGGGGTGGCCCTGCGGACGCAATGCAAGGGCGTCGCGAAGGAGAGAAACCATGGAGTCGATGTCTTGACCATGGGGTTTCCAATATAGCCTTCAAGGCGGGCCCACGCGAGGTTGGTGAGAGCCACTGCATGGTCAGGATAGTCGACCGGGCACTGTGCCAGAACCAGCTGAAAACGCTCTACAACATCATTCAGATCAGAGACCGTCTTGCTTGTCACGTACTTGGAAAATCGTACGTGGCCCTCATCTGTGGCTTGAGAAATCTCGCAGTCTACGATTTCAGGCTACCGATGAAATTGTCACCATGTTATGCAGATTCGTATCGAGTTGTCCGTTCGAAGTGCTAGAGTACATTTGGTTTGCGTATGGACTCGGAGATAGGCTGGAGAGGTGACGCAAGGGGTTCGGGACGGAGACTCGAAGCAGGATGGTTCAAGGCCACAGTAGTGGTACTAACGCCAAAATAATTGCCATTTACGGCTAATTCGGCCCGGCCTTGAGGTCGGACATTGGACGAGCGAGGGTATTGTGGGTATGATGAAGAAAACAGAGGAGAAGGAAAAGGCTTGCCACTCAGGAGTCAGCAGCCCTCAGTGGTATAATCTCCGGCAAGTTATTCACAACAACGTGATTGAAATGTAGTAAGTAGTACATGCACAAAAACGAGATAACAACAAGCAGGATCGAAAATGATCATATGACAGGGATGGAACAGCCAACTGAAGTCTTTGCGCGGTTATCCTTGACGCTGATGCCTCGTTGTTTGTTCACAAGGCTCATTGCTTGTGTGCTGTGCACATGAGGTCGAGTGACTTAACCAATTGAATCGAATCTACTTACAGGTCTTGCAGCCACCCGTTCACGCCATCCCGAGTGTCGATCCATGTATTTAGCTCACGTGCGAACGAGTCCGTGTTCGCAGTCAGGCGGAAGGCCTTTAGGAGATCTAGCTGCTTTGCTATTTCCCTCTCCAATACGTCAGATGAGATTGAGGTCCATGGGCATTCGGGAAGTCGACGCTTGAAGTAAACAAGATACTGTGGAAAGGGATGGGAGTCTGTTTTCAAATTGCAGACGTCACGCACCGTTCCGCAAGCGCTGGCTAACAAATTCTCGGGAAGTGTCTTGTAGCTGTCGGGGTAGATATCCAATAGCGCCTTCTTATAATTTCTGGGTGGTTGCAAAATGCGAAGTGCCAGAATTATCAGGATTGGCATCCGACGATAATATTTCTGTAAGACGGAAATCAGTAACATCATCATATAATTTCAATGAGAATCCATACCCCAGAGGAACAGCGGGTAAACATAGCGGATGTAACTTCACCGTCCCAAACCGTCAGACCGGTGAGGTGAGTGATATACGGTACAACCGTGTCTTTGTCATAGTCTTTCAAACAATATCCACCCACATTTTTCCTCTCCGGCTCTTCAGCAAGACTTTTACAAATCTCCTTCAACGTTCTGATGAAATTGGCCCGCTCTTGGTATACCTGTAGGTGTGCATTGCAGTCATGCAAACTTCAACAGGGCCAAAACGTACCATGGCAATTACCTCGTCAGATAACATGTATAAGGGTTTGAATGTTGCGATGTCGCCTTGTATACACTTGAGGCCTGCCAACAGGTAAGTAAATCGAGACACATGGCCTACTCTTGTTTGTGCCTACCTAGCTCGACCGGACGGCGGGTATGGTTTGCGAATGTCACCATTTCGACGATATAATCCTTACAGCTCGCACGAAACGAGTGCTCTTCCATGCCGTGAGTAATCAAGCGCTGCTTGGCACGGATCATGGCATCACGAATGCACATATATGCCGCAGGAAAGGTCGCTTTGATATAATCTTTGCTGTATTGGATATCCTTGGCAAAGACGACCGGGTCGCAAAGCACATAGTTCGGTGCCACAGCGCCGTTCGGTGAAGCGATGTCGGTGTATTCCGACTCTATCCCTACTGCAGGAACCGGGTAAGGTAACCCCACGTTCGCTGCAGCAGGGACTGAAGGTGGTATGTCAAACGCTGATGTATCCGCGCCTGTCCACTCGCCAGCCAGCGAGCTCCTGGTAAAGACATCATCATCGAAAGATGTGCTATTATACTCAGCGTTGTCAATCCACGTCGCAACTTCGTCAAACCGAATCGGAGCATCATTCAACTGAGAGTCAGCCAGGGAGGCATGATGATCCATGAGGGGGGCACCAGGATCCATGAGGACGATATCGCCCCCTAGCTCAGCGAACTTCTGCCGAAAGGTCAACGTCTGGTCCCCGGCGCGATATATTGTATACGCACTTGAATCACGGGCCGTACGGTGAGATCGCCCTCATCCGAACAGACACAAAGTTGCCTCCAGCCATTTGGAACAATGAATTGCTAGTGAAACGTAAGCGGAGAGTTAATGAGCCCCAACCGACGAAAGCACTTACTGGTAGATTTGGTTGCTTGCGCATATCCTGTAGAGAGATTTAGTGATACTTTGGCAGACTCGAGAATCCCGAGAGTCGGGATATAGTTTACCATGTATACGGGTTCATATCCGAGTCCATTCCCTATATTCAGGAACGACACATTTTCTTGCAAAGGTAGCACATAAGCCACCTTGAGGAAAGTCCCCTCGAGAGTTTCAACTGCGTGTGGCTAGAATCGCCATGTGTCAGCCTAGAACACGTCCAAAGTTGAAAACCTACCGAACCACTTACAAACCACTCAAAGATACTTGCGTCCCCCCCAGCTGTTGGAGGACTGTAAATGTGGCCTATTAGAACCCGCGGTAAGGACATTATGGAAGAAGGACAACGAAAATACTTCAGATAATGAGTCTGTGTGGCGGTCAGTAGGCACCTTTTGGATGAGTTTATAAAGCCTTACCTAGAGGTCACATCGCTCGTTGTATTTTACGTCGAAGATTAACACGATTACCAAGTAATTTCTAGAACGTCGTCCCAATATCAGTGTGGATTGAATCGTCAGGGTTCAGCTTATCGACTCGAGGCAAATTCGTGATCGATCGGCGCGACCACTCACCCCATTTTCGCGGAGTCACTTAATTAATTTCGGTGGATTTTGATCACGTTCAAGTATCAATATCAAATCGATGACTCACGTTTGGCGGAGATTGAACTAATCAGACACGCTGACCATGGCGATCAGCCGTTGACAGGTTCGTGACACATTCACTGTTCAACGTTCAAGTTCAACGTCGGCGCAAATGAAAAATCTGGTTTGCCGGTCATTCTCGGTTTGCCGGTCATTCTCGTTTGCCGATCATTTTCGTTTGCGGGTCATTCTCGTTTGCCAGTCATTCCCGTTTGCGGGTCGAGCCTGAGAGCATCTGACAAATAGTCATCATATTAAGACGGTAAGTACTGGATTTGATGAGCCTACAACCAACTGTTCCACGAAGGACTGCAGCCTCTACTGGTAGATTTGACGCGGAGGCTGCCAGGTCGACACTATACTAAGTGTGTGCGAGTTTCGGATCCAGTAGTACTGTATCGGTGATAATAAGAGCAGGTCCAACCAACATTAAACAAAAATTGTCCATTGAACCATGACCTCCACTATGAACCCTGCATCTCTCATCCCTGATTGCCATCAAGTCGACTCACATACTCTTCACCACGATGACCCAAGAGCTAATGTCGTGAATCGTTGTGCGGACTGGCGTGGCAACGTCCTACAACCTCAGGACGCATACCCTTCTCCACGTTCCAATAAAACCGTGTTGCAAGAGCCGTCATCTGTAGGTGGCATTATTGCACATCATGTAAAACGACTAAATAATAACCAACCAGATGGACGTCTTTTGTCTTCCTCCATTCTGGGAGACCACTCGCGATAGTGATCTCACTATCCGCCTCATCAGTGCTCAGCGCTCGGAGCGTCGGGCAGAGAGCCGACTTATCCAGAGACGCCTGAGACGCATCATGATCGAACATGAATTATACAATCAAATGGACCAACATATAGGGCGAAGACTGCACAAAGCTGACATCAGTGTTGGTGTTTCACGCGGTGTGTTGCGAGTGTCTGGCCTTGCAGGCAAGACATTCGATGGTGCAGATAGTGACCATTCAAGTGTATTCCATGATTCAGATGCAGAATCATCCCCTTGAAACTTGTTGCGTGCCTTGTCGGTTCCATCATACTGAATATATGTACAATGGCTCCCGCTGGATGGTTCTATACGCGTTGTACGGGTAGCTAGCTTTTCTTTTTTTTGCCTCCTTGAAGCGATATATATCATGATATATATATGTTATACGCAGCGCTCCCCTTCGTACTACTAGTGCTTGTTTCACTAGTAATAGTGGAAATACAATTTATACGGTTGCTCTATGTCAATGATCCTCGCTGTCAGCACTCTCATATCACCCGTAAGTACGTGGATGTGCTGTGCAAGTCCTTTGCTGTGTACAGACTCGGACTTGGCGCGAGCCTGGTTCAGATGAGCAACATCGCGGAGAGCCAACAGCGGGTTAGTACGCATCGCAGATTTTCTGCAGGACTCTCGCTCCTGCGCAGCAACACGTTCCTCGTTGCGGTGATCGACTTCTAGTGCTATCTGTCGGGTACTTTGGGCATGCAAAACTCAGCTACGAGAACAAGTCTGTATTTGCACCAGTGACCAGACGACATTTCGACATCTAGTCATCTCGTTAGCTAGCAACAATGGACTGCAGCGTTTCGTTCAAGCCAGAGGCAAATACTGCTGGGTGAATCAGGTGAGTACTTACACCGGGAGGTCTGTCGTGAGTCACGACCACCACCATAGTGGGAGACGATGAGCGTCGAGAGGTTGTTTTTTGAAGCAGGCCCGGATCAGTAGTCGCAGTGATATAAGAGTGAAAATGCGAGGCGCGCAGCTACGTAGCATCGTTACAGTGTTAATCATTGTCAAGCTTCTGCGGTAAGATCGATAACCTCAGCTGTGTTTCCTCTCTTTGTGTTTCCCACACAGTCATGACGTTCGAACATTCGCCTTGTCATGATCAGGTTGCAGCCATTACACCGTGTGAGAAAATGATGGAATTCGGCTTCTGTGAGACCAGGCCGGGAGAAGGAGTCCAGCTTCAGA